TGACTCTGATCTCCAATTAACCACCAGAAAACGGGAAGTGGAGCTGTGGCTCAAAGTGGTAGAGTGCTAGCCTTGAGCAAAAGAGCTCAGGGACAGCACCCAGACCCTACGTTTAAGCACCAAGACTGACAAAAAGAAAAGCAGAAGGAGGAAGAGGAGGAGGAGGAGGAAGAGGAGGAGGAAGAAAAATTGCCTCTCAGCTGGACATCGGTGGCTCACACCTGTAATCCTAGCTACTCAGGAGACTGAGATCTGAGGATGGTGGTTCAAAGCCAGGCCAAGGACCAACAAAAAAAAATTGCCTGTCACTGTACTGTTAGGGCACACTGTTCTACTCTATTCCAGAGGCAATGAGTATGTTTTCTTACATATATTTCTAGATCTAGTCTCTAAAATAGCAAACACTGTATATTCTCTACCTGCATAATGTATATATTCATGTCTATGTTCAAAGTTATATAGTTCTGCATTGTGAGGAATCTATATCAGTCCCATTTCTATTGATTGCTATTCCACAATTCATTTTAGGGACCTTCTATATTTTTCTATATGTCATTCCCGATTGACAGACATTGAGATATATTCTTTTTTTTTTTTTTTTTTTGGTCATGGGGGCTTGAACTCAGGCCTGGGCACTGTTGTTGAGCTCTTTTGCTCAAGGCTAGCACTCTACCACTTTAAGCCACAGCACCATTTCTGGATTCTGGTGGTTAACTGGAGTTATGAGTCTCATGGACATTCCTGCCCTGGCTGGCTTTGAACTTCAATCCCCAGGTCTTAGCCTCTGAGAAGCTAGGATTTCAGGAATGAGCTACCAGCACCTGGCTCCTTTTTTTTTTTTTTTTTTTCTGATGCTAGTGGTTCAAGCCTGGAATCCTAGCTACTCAGGAGGCTGGGATTTGAGGATCTCAGTTTCTTCATTGGAAGCCAGCCTGGGGAGGAAAGTCCATGAGATTCTTATCTCCAATTAATCACCTGAAAACCAGAAGTGATGCTGTAGCTTAAGTGGTAGAGCATTAACTTTGAGCACAAAAGCTCAGAGACAGTGCCTAGGCCCTGAATTCAAACCCACAACCGACTTTAAAAAAATCAAGCTAGAAGTAGAGCTGTGGCTCAAGTAGTAGAGTACTATCTTTGAGCAAAAGAAACTCAGGAATAGCACCAAGACCCTGAGTTGAAGCCCCAGAACTGAGAAAAAAATGATGCTTGCAGCAAATAGCTTTGTACAGTATTTATACCATTTTATACCTGGGTATAGATATAGCTAGGGCCTTCTGCTTAGCTAGGGTAGGTGGTCTATCCCTTAAGCCATGCCCCAAGACCTTTGTACTTTAGGATATTTTTCAGATAGAGTCTTGCTTTTTGTTCGGCTGGCTTTTGCTCTGCTGTCCTTAATCATCCTACCTATCTATACCTCCTATATAATCTGATATCACAGATGTGTGTCAACATTCCTGGCTTGTTTGTTGAAATAGGGATCTCCCTAACTTTTTGCCAGGGCTGGCCTGGAACTGTGTTCCTCCTGATGTCTGACTCCAGAGTAGCTGGGATTACAGGCCTGAGCCATCCTCCCCAGCTGAAGCTAAAAGCGTTCGGTACCAGGGCTTGAACTCAGGGTGTTATACTCTCTTTTGGCATTTTTTTTTTTTTTTTTTCTGTAGTGGGCTCTACCACTTTAGTCACACTTCCAGTTCCAGCTTTTTGCTGATTAACTGGAGATATGAGTATTTTAAATTTGTCTGTCCAGGCTGGCTTTGAACCATAATCCTCATACCTCAGCCTCCTGAGTCTAGTATTACAGGTATAAGACACTGGTGCCTAGTTTAGAAACTGAAAACAACAACAACAACACTTTTTGGTTGGCCATGGGGCTTGAACTAGGGCACTGTCCCTGAGCTCTTCTTCCTCAAGGCTAGTGTTCTACCACTTTGAACCACATGGCCACTTTAGGCTTTCTGATGGTAAATTGGAGATAAGAGTCTCTTGGGCTAGGCAACAGGGCTTATGCCTGTAATCCTAGCTACTCAGGAGGCTGAGATCTGAGGATGGTAGTTCAAATTCAGGAAAGTCTGTGAGACTCTTTTTTTTTTTTTTTTGTCAGTTGTGGGGCCTGAACTCTGGGCCTGGGCACTGTCCCTCAGCTCTTCAGCTCAAGGCTAGTGCTCTACCACTTGAGCCACAGCGCCACTTCTGGCTTTTTCTATGTGGTGCTGAGAAATTGAATCCAGGGCCTCATGCATGCAAGGCAAGCACTCCACCACTGAGCCACCTTCCCAGCCCCTTGAGTGGTTGTTTTACCCATTGTTTTCATCAGCGGTTGTTTTATTCAGTTTCCCAGTCAGTATCAACTGGGTTCTCAACTCCAGAGGACATCATTCTTGTAATTTTCTTTTTAGCTATAGCTATTCACAGAAAACTGAATGGTACACCTCTGAGCATCAGTCACAGAAAATGCAATGAAAATGGCAGGTCCTAGAGTCATGCCTTGCTTAGCATAGTGCTAGAGCTAAGAGCTCAAGAAGTGTTTGCTAGTTGAGTGAATAAATAGAATCCTGTGTTAATTTTTTTTTTTTTTGGGTCTGGTTGTGGGGCCTGAACTCTGGGCCTGGATGCTGTCCCTCAGCTCCTCAGCTCAAGGCTAGCGCTCTACCACTTGAGCCACAGCGCCACTTCCAGCTTTTTTTTCTTTCTTCTTATGTGGTGCTGAGGAATCGAACCCAGGGCCTCATGCATGCAAGGCAAGAGCTCTACCACTGAGCCATCTTCCCAGCCCTCCTGTGTTAATTTTTGTATATTCCATCCCCCTCCCAAAACTCCAAACCCAACTCCCCCTTCAAGACAAAAAGGAAATTGTGACTAGGGGTAAAGAAAGTGGGGAGGAGGAAAGGCAAACATTAAGCTACATGACTTCAGTGCTTTGATGAGATTTGGGTGGGTGGGTGCTGGTGCTCCTGCAGAGAAATGGGACAGCAGAATTAAAGCAAGCATTCTATTCCCAAGAGTCTTCCTTAATTTCCCCCCCCCCCCATAAATATTACCTCACTTTCATCTCAGTGTGCAACCATGCTGGTGGTTTGACAGCTCCAGGTTAGGCACTCAGTGAATGTATTTATTTACTTATTCAGTTATTTAGTCGTGAGGCTCAAGGCTAGTGCTCTACCACTTTGAACCACAGCTCCATTTCTGGCTTTTTGAGTGGTTAATCGGAGGTGAGAGTCTTACGGGAACTTTTTTGCCCCCGTTGGCTTTGAACCGGGATCCTCAGATCTCAGCCCTCCTGAATAGGTAGGATTACAGGCATGAGCCACCAGTGCCTGGCATGATTTTTTTTTTTTTGGTCCATCATGGGGCTTGAACTCTGGGCCTGAAGTCTGTCCCTCAACTCTTCAGTTCAAGGCAAGCACTCTTACCTCTTGAACCACAGCCACTCTACCTCTTTCTGGTGGTTAACTGGAGGTAAGAGTCTCATGGACTTTCCAGCCTGGGCTGGCTCTGAACCATGATCTTCAGATCTCAGCCTCCTGAGTAGCTAGGATTACAGGCGTGAGCCACGGGTGCCTGGAGATTATGTTGTTCATTCTTCCTCTTCCTCCTCCTCCTATTCTTCTTTCCCCTCCTTCTTTCTTTGGTTCTTGGGCTTGAACTCAAGAATGTATAAAGCCATGCACGGGTGTCTCACACCTCAGGAGGCTGAGATCTGAGGGTCGTGGTTTAAAGCCAGCTCCCGAAGGAAAGTCCCTGAGACTCTTATCTCCAATTAATCACCAGAAAACTGGAAGTGGGAGCTGTGGCTCAAGTGGTAGAGCGCTCACCTTGAGCCTCAAGGATAGTGGCCAGGCTCTGAGTTCAGAGTTCAGTCGGTCCATAACCAACCCCCTGGGAAAAAAAAATTCAAAGAAATTCCTTGAGAATTTCAAATTCAAATGTGAATTTTAGTAAAACCAGCCCAGCTCTGAGGGGGCAAAAAAGCAGAGCCAAGGAATCCCATCAAAAGTTATTGCCAGGGGCTGGGAAGGTGGCTCAGCGGTAGAGTGCTTGCCTTGCATGCCTGATGCCCTGAGTTCGGTTCCTCAGCACCACATAAGCAAAAAGAAAAAAGCCGTTAGTGGCACTGTGGCTTAACTGGTAGAGCGCTATTAGCCTTGAGCTGAAGAGCCGAGGGACAGCGCCCAGGCCCAGAGTTCAGGCCCCATGACCGGACCAAAAAAAAAAAGTTATTGCCGTTGTCACGATGACAGATGATGAGAGATGACAAGTAATCCTTGATAAAATAAAGAGAGCCTAGGAAGAAAAAAAATTTTTTTTCTTGATCCTACAAGGCATGGCAAGCCATTAACTCTGGCAGGTGAAGAAACGTGCTACTCTGAAGGCTGAGATCTAAGGATCTCGATTCAAAGCCAGCCCAGGCAAGAAAGTTCCTGAGCTTCTCTCCAATGAAGCACCAAAAGAGCCTGAAGTGAGTCGGTGGCTCAAGTGCTACAGTGATCGGCTTGAGTCCATAAAGCTCAGGGACAGTGCCCAGACCCAGAGTTCAAGCCTCAGGATCGACATCAAAACAAAACAAACAAAAAAACAGAGCCAAAGCCAGGCGCCAGTGGCTCACGCCTGTAATCCTAGTGCTCAGGAGGCTGAGATCTGAGGATCGTGGTTCAAAGCCAGCCCGGGCAGGAAAGTCCGTGAGATTCGTATCTCTAATAAACCACCAGAAAACACACCACACACAGACACACAGACACAGACACACACAGACATAGACACACAGACACAGAGACACAGACACAGACACACACACACACACACACACACACACACACACACACACACACACACACACACACACACACACACACACACACACACACGACAGCCGTCAGCGACGCAAGGGGTGGGGCAGACGCCCGCCCATCCGGGAACTTTTCTTTAAAATGAATGGACGTCAGGGGACGGTACAAAAGAGAGCACAGGTACTTCCGGTTACTCCGGAAGTGCAGGCTTCGCATGCTCCCAAGCCCCTCCTTCAGTGGCTAGCCGGAGTGACAGGATGGCTGGACGGGCAGCACGCCTGATGCTGCTAGCCGGGGCAGCGGCGCTCGTGAGCGGCTCCCAAGGCGACCGTGAACCGGTATACCGCGACTGCGTGCTCAGATGCGAGGAGCGGAACTGCTCAGGGGGAGCACTGAGCCACTTCCGTTCCCGACAGCCAATCTACATGAGCCTAGCAGGTAAGCCCCGCCCATTGCTTTTGGTCACGCCCCTCGCGACCCCAAGGCTCTGCAAGCTCTCAATCTTGGTTTCCCCAATGGAACTCTTGAGATTGTGTGGAATGTCCGGAGTGGTAGAGGTTCTCATCAGCTTGTCTTATGTCCCTAGGAGCTTTAAAAAATTAATTCAAATCGCTATTTATTAAATGCTAATTGCAGTACAAGGCCCTGGAGTGACCCAGAAATCAGACCAAGGTCCTGCCTTTCCAGGAAAGGGGTCCAGACATGGAGCTTTTAGCCTTCTCTAGTAGGGAATGATCTGAGTCCTAAAAGATCTTTAGATTCAGCACTGACTCAGAAAGGAAGAGATTCTGGCTTTGAGAAGGGGGGAGCGGGGAGAGCCTTACATAATATTTTTTAAAACAAATTTTAATTGCTTTGTTTTGAAAACTGCGCTGAATACTAAATGTACACCCTTACAATAAACAAATACAAAAACGATAACTCACACTAAAACAAAACATATCTCTGATAGCCATTATTTTTTCTATTTGGGACAGTTTTAAAGTTTTTCTTTTGTCACAAAAACAGGAATGTACCTACACAAAGTCCCAAAATAGGCCATCTTTTTTTAAACAAAAAGGCAATGATTCTCAAAAGACTATGAATTGAACAGGTAACTAATTGATACAAGTCTAATAGGTTTGTTAAAATCAGTCACATCTAATAACACATCTGAAGTATTCTTGTATAAAATCATGTGGGGGAAAAAAAGAATTTATCAATGTCTAAAGAAGTGGGTTTGTTCATAGACCATATGACAAGTTACCATAAAAAGTGTTTCCTCAGGCATAAAGAAATGGAACATCTTACATAATATTTTGTGAAGGAATGGCTTCCGGATGAACACATTAACTTCCCATCCATGACTTTAGTGGCAAGGAACAGGCATATGGAGCTCCTATGGTATGGCAGATGTCACAATAGGTCGAATAGCTTTCACCACAGCCTTTGAGGTAGTTTCTCTATTTTACAAATGGGGAAACAATAAGACCCTGCCCAAGGTCACACTGATTATAAATAGTAAAGCTGAGACACAGCTTGTACTGTACTACCCTTTTCCATTGCATACAGATGGAACAGAGAGAATGGGGGACAGATGTGGGCGCACTCAATGGTTTAGTTTACCCAGGCACAGGGACTATGAAAAGGTGGAAAAGCAACTTGGGGCCTCAAAAGTTAGGGTGAAGCATTTGGGTTTCATTTTCCCAGGACATAGGGAGGCAGCAAGAACTCCTCCCAGGCAAGTAAGACTAATTCTGTGTTCCGAAAGGGCACCCATACACTCAGCCGTCCATAGGTGAGTCCATCATAGGTCAAGCTCCCTGTCTTGAAGCCAGGCTTGTGCCTCTAGTCCTAGTTACTTAGGAGGTTGAGATCTGAGGTTCAGAGCCAACCTGGCAGATGAATCCAAGTGAAATAACCAGCAAAAAAAAAAATCCAGAAATGAAAATACGGTGCAAAGGTAGAATGCCAGCCTTGAGTGGAAAGTGAGAGCAAGAGGCCCTGAGTTCAAACTCCAGTACCAACACACACACACACACCCATACACAGAGACAAATCTCCCATCTTGGGTGAAAGGAGAAATACTTGTATTTGCTCCCATCACTAAAAGTTGCTTACATATACTCATTTCGCTTCCTCTTGTATGCAAGTCCCACCCTCTCTCTACTCAGGTGGAAAGCTAGAAATTTGAGATTTCTGTTGATTGTCTCCAACATCTAGGCCGCTTGGCCTCCATTTGTACTTGGACTCCACCTGGTTTTCTCTGTGCCTCCTCAGCTGGGGAGTCCACTGGCTCCATTTATCTATTTCAGGCTGGACTTGTCGGGACGACTGTAAGTATGAGTGTATGTGGGTCACCGTTGGCCTTTACCTCCAGGAAGGCTACAGAGTGCCTCAGTTCCATGGCAAGGTGAGTTGGAAGATCAGAGAAGGTATGTTGGTGGTCATGTGATAGGAACAAGATACACTTTGGGCTGGGTACTGGTGGCTCATGCCTCTTATCCTAGCCACTCAGGAGGCTGAGATCTGAGAATCACGGTTCAAAGCCAGCCCAGGCAGGAAAGTTGTGAGACTCTTACTCCAATTAACCACTGAAAATGGAAGTGGTGCTGTGGCTCAAGTAGCGCACTCACCTTGAGCTGAAGAGCTCAGGGACAGCGCCCAGGCCCAGAGTTCAAGCTCCACGACTGACAAAAAAAGGAAGAAAGGGGCTGGGAAGGTGGCTCAGTGGTAGAGCGCTTGCCTTGCATGCCAGAGGCCCTGGGTTCAATTCCTCAGCACCACATAAGCAAAAAGAAAAAAAAGCCGGAAGTGGCGCTGTGGCTCAAGTGGTAGAGTGCTAGCCTTGAGCTGAAGAGCTGAGGGACAGCGCCCAGGCCCAGAGTTCAGGCCCCATGACTGGACCCAAAAAAAAAAAAAGGAAGAAAGAAAGAAAGAAAGAGAGAGAAAGAAAAGAAAGAAAGAAAGAAAGAAAAAGAAAGAAAGAAAGGAAAGAAAGAAAGAGAGAGAAAGAGGAAGAAAGAAAGAAAGAGAAAAAAGATGCACTTCCGTTGGTCCACCCTGTGCAAGCAGTCTGAAGTGTGGGGTGATGGTGGAGGTTTGGAGCAGGACCTATTCAGAAGCTGCCCCTTTCCCTATGATTGGATGGAACCAATGTGTTCTGTTTGTGGACTTGGAGTAACAAGATCTGGGCAGCTTCAGGGTCTCCTTAGAGGGGGGTGCTGGGCTTCTTAAGCCATTGAAGTTCTCATAATGGCATGTTTTTCTGTTGCTTCTCCAGTAAAGGTCAGAATTAGTATCACTATCCTTCAGATTGCTCACTTTCCAGGCACCTTTTGGTCCAATATTGTCTCGTTTTAGCAGTTGAGACTGGTAGGAATTATTCTTCCTAATTTGCCACAGAGTAAGCTGATGCGCCAAGGACTGTGGGAAACACTTGAAAAAAGATTAGAAGCTGTTGTCTGGATGGACACAAGTTATTTCCATCGTTATTGGCTTATCTGTTCTCCCCAGGGACAGAGAAGTGTGTGCTGGCTAGGACAAGGTCCTGATCCTAACCAGCAATGACTCTAGAGCTACTCATTGGCCTGAGAGAGCCAAAGGCTTTGGCCAAAGTCCAGAGCTGAGGAAACAACTGGAAACCTGTTGATGCTGCACCTTCGGGGCTGCCTGTCCCTCAGACCCCCCTCCATTTGCTCCTTTTTTCAGTGGCCCTTCTCTCGGTTCCTGTTCATCCAAGAGCCAGCTTCTGCTGTGGCCTCTCTCCTCAATGGCCTGGCCAGCCTGGTGATGCTCTGCCGCTACCGCACATCCGTGCCAGCCTCCTCCCCCATGTACCACACCTGCGTGGCCTTTGCCTGGGTAGGTAGCCTGACAGGAGGAACTCTCAATCCTCAATGATACCCCGGACTTCTAGCCACCCAGCTTTCCCTGTTTTCCAGGGCTAAAAGTATAGTTGTAACCGAAAAGGGACTCTGTCTTCCCTTCCAGCAGAACCCTAAGCCAGGTGGCTAAAGGGATAGAAATTCTGTCCTAAGCACTTAACATATATTTCCTCATGTAATCCTCATCAGAAAAAGGCTCAGAGCTGGGAAGTGAATAGCTAACTAGTTAGCAAGTAAACAAAATAGGCCTAACTGCTAGCACAGTGATTTGAAGGCCTGAGCCCTCAGCCTAGGCTGCCTCCACATGCTGGGCTGAAAGATGGCTGAGCATTTGCCTGTGGGCAGACACAGGGTTGGTACTGGAGGGACTGCAGGCTCCATCCTAGGGAGTGAAATGTAATGGGCCTACTTGGGAGACAGGGGGCAGGAGTCAGGCAGAGCCCAGGAAGGCCCAGTTGAGAGCTGGGGGAGTTGTGAGGCAGAGAGGCCACATCCTCTAGTAGGGGATAAGTACCAGGAGGACAGTGTCATGGGAAACTTGTGGGCCTGACAAGGCTTAGACATGGGTGTATGGGAGAGAGAAGTTGGGATTCAGCTGTTCCAGGCAGTATGGGTGGGGCCTGTGCAGGCAGCCTTGGAGTATAAGGAGATGAGATGGAGCTAAGAGGACTGAGTGCCAGGCTGGGGCTGGGACCTGGTTGTAGGCAAGGGAGTGGCATCAGTGCACGGTGTCACAACCATGGGCGCAGTGGAGCCCCCACTTCTTGTTTTTTTTTTTAACTGTATTTTTTTTGTCTTTTCTTTTTTGGTACTGGGGATCGAACCCAGGACGTTGCACTTGCTAGGCAAGCGCTTTGCCACTGAGCTACATCCCAGCCCCCCACTTCTTGTTTAGACCACTCACTGAGAAGGGAATTTAGTCCTGTCTGAGAGAGAAAGCAGGTCCCTCCTGTCTCCTTTTCCCTTGGGGTTCTTCCAGGGACATGGCTTGTCTGCCTCCTCATCCCCACCCCTCTTAGAGAGCACCGAGCAGTGCTGCCTAGCACAAAGTTCATCACCTCTGTGCTTGAACCACAGTCCCAAGGATACTTTAGAGGGTTGCTGCACAGCTCTTGATTCCTGGGGCTTTCATCTCTGGTGTCTGCACGTCAACTTTTGTCTTAGTGAGCAGTACCACCTGCCAGGGACACCAGCAGTCCACAATAGCCAAGAGCTTTAGGGGAAGAGTTGAGGATGATGTAGGGCAGGGAGTAGAGAATAGATAGTTGGAGCCTAAGTCTTAGGACACCGCAGAACATGGGGCTGTAAGTCATGGGGTTCCGTTGTACCATCACAAGGCCCTCAATGGACATAGCCTCAGACCCACTATAGATGATGATCATTTGTTTTTCTTTTTATTCGTGTGTGTGTGTGTGTGTGTGTGTGTGTGTGTGTGTGTGTGTGTCTGTAGTCAAACTTGGACTCCAACTCTCAGTCTTCTGCCTTCCCCTACTGAATGCTGGGATTACAGGCTTGTCCCCAGACCCAGCCCATCTACTTCAGATTTTATACTTGACATTAAGTTCTTTGTATGTATGTTTCTGCAGGAGGGAGACAGCCTGAGTTGTTTGGAGGGTGTGGCAGTGGACTTTGTCTTGGGCTGGTCTTCTAGACAGAATGAGGCCCCTCTTTGAATTGGGGTACAGTGGGAAGTCCCATCAATTCTCGGTTCTATTTTGGTATAAGGATGCCACAGCTTTGCCTTTGGGAAATTAAGAGACCATGGTCCCTAGAGGGGCTAGTAAAGCCACCCTGCCTTGCTGTATAGACCTGGGCTACAGCTGGGCAGGTACCAGGAAAGGCTAGAAAGCCTGCTAAGTTCTGCACAAAAAGTGTGTGTGTGTGTGTGTGTGTGTGTGTGTGTGTGTGTGTGTGTGTGTGTGTTGAGGGAGTGTGTTTGGGGAGGTATCCTGGGACACTATGGGCATAACACTGTCCCTGAGTCAGGTGCTCACGCCTGTAATCCTAGTTATTCAGGAGGCTGAGATCTGAGGATCATGGTTCAAAGCCAGCCCGTACAGGAAAGTTCCTGAGACTCTTATCTCCAATAAACTACTCAGAAAGCTGGAAGTGGCGCTGTGGCTCAAGTGGTAGAGCACTAGCCTTGAGCTGAAGAGCTGTGGGATAGTGCCCAGGCCCAAAGTTCAAGCCCCACACCTGAACCCCCCCCCCAAAAAAAAAAGAAAAAAGAAAAAAACTCACTGTTCCTGAGCTTCTTTGCTCAAGGCTAACACTCTACAACTTGAGCCACAGCTCCACTTCTAGTGTTTTGGTGGTTAATTAGAGATAAGAGTCTCAGAGACTTTTTTGCATAAGCTGGCTTTGAACCTGTGATCCTCAGAACTTAGTCTCCTGAGTAGCTAGGATTATAGATATGAGCCACGGGCACCTAGCAAAGGCTCATTGACTTCATGAAGGAGGCTTGACTTTCTGCTGCATCTAGGAGGCCGAACCAGTTCCCCACTGCTTCCTCTAATAGAGAAAGGTCCTCGAGTGTAAAAGTGAGAGGAAGAAGTAGAAGGGAAGCCCCAACTATCTTTTTTATTTTTTGCCAGTCCTAGGGCTTGAACTCAGGGCCTGGGCATTGTCTCTGATGAGCTTCTTTTGCTCAAGGCTAGCACTCTACCACTTGAGCCACAGGACTACTTCTAGCTTTTTCTATGTATGTGGTACTGAGGAATTGAACCCAGGACTTCATGCATGCTAGGCAAGCACTCCTAAGCCACATTCCCAGTCCCCTGACTGTCTTTATAGGATGATTTATGGAGGTAAGGCCTGATAGGTCACCTCTGTTGAGGAAACTACAAGAGATAAGTTGCCCCTGCAGTCAAATGGTGGTTAGACTTCAGGAAGGACTTCCTGATGGTCCGACAAGAGCCAGTGGAATGGGGAATGGCAGGAAATCAAGGAATCCTTTTTGATGTAGAAAAAGCTCCTGTTCTCTCAAGAATGAGCCCGGGCAGGCTTACTATGCCTGAGGCAGAGCTAGACACTGGCCCCTGGGAGGGGACAGGATGGCAGCAGGCATCATATTTAACATTCTGCTTCCCCCACTTCTGAGACACCGAGCTATTTAAAGACCCACTTGTCCCCACCACTACGGTGTCAATGACAGCCCCAAGCACTGGGGCTTAGCACTGGGGTCGAATTCCTGACAGATCTGGCTCCCGTGGCATGCAACCAGTTTCATGGCTGTGATATTTTTGTCTCAATTTTCCTATTTTCCAGCAGACTGCACCGGCCCCTCATCCCGTCCCCTGCACTGGCGCCGTGCCCCGGCCACCCCCTTTGCTCAGTGTTTGCTGAAGTTCTCGGTGCTTGGGCCAGCCCACTGACCCCTGGCTGGTTATGGTGTCTGCCCCTTCCACTCCTCTCCAGCCTGGCTGAGGAGCCTGGAGCAGCCATGCACTTGTGTCTGGGGATTTCCCTTCCTTCTCTGTCCATCTGTCCTCTGCTTGGGCCTTGATTAAACACGCAGAAGAGCAACAGTATCAGCTGGGACCCTATTGTTGGGCTAGTGGCTCAGGAACAAGGAAGAAAAGCTCTACCCAAGGTGAAGTGTCTACATTCCAGGAATCCCAAGGTTTAACCTTGAACTTGGCAGCACTTAAAAATATAGGGGAACCCGTGAAAATATAGGGGAACCCGTGAAGGAAGCGGTGGGGTCAGCCTACTGGACAGAATGAAGGAAAACAACATTTATGGGACATCAGCTGTGGACCACGCAGGAATAACAGTAGCCATTTGTGGAGTGGCTCCTTTGACCAGGCATGTAAGACAGCTCTCCTGGAAGGTGTGTGTGCTATTTTAACACTACTCTGTGGGTGAGGCCACTAAGGTCATCACAGAAGCTTGGTTACTTGTTCAAGAATACAGCTGAGCCAGGCTGGTGGCTCACACTTGTCATCCTACCTACTCAGGAGGCTGAAATCTGAGAATTGCTGTTCCAAGCCATCCCGGACAGGAAAGTCTGTGAGACTCTTATCTCCATTAAACTACCAAAAAGCCAGAAGTGGAGCTGTGGCTCAAGTTGTAGAGCAATAGCTTTGAGCAAAAGAAGCTCAGGGACAACACCCAGGCTCGGAGTTCAAGCCCTAGGACTAGCAAACAAACACACACACAAGAAAATTAGAACCCGGGCAGAGCTGAGGTTTGAACCTGGGAAGTATGGCTCTAGGGCTTGCATTGTGTGTGTGTGTGTGTGTATGTGTGTGTGTGTGATGCCAGTGTTAGGGCTTGACCTCAGGGCTTGGACATTGTCCCTGAGCTTTTTATACTCTAGACTAGCCACAGCTCCACTTCTGGCTTTTTTGGTTTTTAATTAGAGATAAGAGTTTTACCGTTTTTCCTACCTGATTGGCTTTAAACCACCATCCTCAGAGCTCAGTCTCCTGAGTAGCTGGGATTACTGAAGCCCTGCATTCTAAGTCTAAGGAAAGGATTGGCAGAAGAGTCACTCCCCATATAGGATAGTCTCTCAGGGAGAGCGGGCAACCAGAGTCCAGTCTTGAGGTGGGTCTCTGAAAGTGGAAGGTGTCGGAGGTAGAGGTTTGGCAGGGAACCCAGCAGCCCCCGCCTGTCCCTCCTGTGGAGTGAAGGCCTGGCCCAGCGCATGTCCACTGATGCTTTTAGATGTTCCAACTGCCACTTAATCCTCTTGTCACCTCTCTCTTTCTATTGTGGGTGACAAGGAGGCCTGGCTGGCTGGCAGCCCCTGCTCCTTCTCTTCTTCCTCCTACACTAGCTCCTGGGCCAATCTCTTCCCTAAGCTGACCCTGCACCTGACCTTCCTGGTCATGGCCCTGGTGATTGCCTGCATCTGTCTCCAGCCCAGGGTGGTTCCTCTCCCAGCTGTGACCCTGTGTACCCCAGTGTCCAAGAAGTCAGAAGCTTTCACCCCATTTCCCAACCTCTAGAGGAAGGGACAGTAGCAGGAAGCCTGGAAGCAGGTGGCAGGGACAGAATGGCCATCCTTAAAGGAAGAAGCAGGGCTGGGAAGGTGGCTCAGTGGTAGAGTGCTTGCCTTGCATGCTTGAGGCCCTGAGTTCAATTCCTCAGCACCACATAAGCAGAAAAAAAAAGCCAGAAGTGGCGCTGTGGCTCAAGTAGGAGAGTGCTAGTCTTGAGCTGAAGAGCTGAGGGACAGCGCCCAGGCCCAGAGTTCAGGCCCAATGACTGGACCCAAAAAAAAAAAAAAAAAGGAAGAAACAGCCTAGCCTGAGAAGTCATCAGCCCTCAGGGCCAGGAAGGAACAGAAGACCACTCAGTCCAGACAAGAATGAGTGAGAATCTTATCTCAAAAACTGGCTAGCCCAGATATGTCCCAAGCAGGGAGCTGGCCTAAGAGGCAAGGCCTTTGCCACAGTCTAGAGCAACAGAAGAGCAAGGCTCAGGCTGCACAGGCCACAGGCTGCCCTGACTCTCCCAAGCTCAGCCCAGCCGTGGAACGGGTATCTGGCTAGCCTTGCAGTCCTGCGCCTCCTCCCTTCCCTCTCTGCCTGCCGTCCCCCGCTGCCTGCCTAACCCTCCTGCAGCAGGATCCTATGGAATGGCTTTCTGCCCCTGGTCTGGTCAGTTATCCGGGTACTAAAGCTGGCAGCTCTTTTGTCCTTTTCATCTCTGACAGGCCTGTCCCACCCTGAGCACTCCTCCCCTCCTCCGGGACACACCAGGCCTGGCCCTGTGGTTTCTTCCTTTGACTGCCTGGCCTCTGCACTGCATCCCAGAACACAGCCATCCTGGAAGAAAGTGCCAGCAACCACGCCCATAAGACTCCTGCTTTCTCCATGTCATTTACCCTGGGCCCTCACTGGCTGCAGCGCTTCTGTCTTGCCCTTGCTCTTCCCCAGGGCTCAGACGAAGCTCTGGCTTGGCGAGTTAGGCTGGCCTGGCCAGGAGAGAGCTGGGCTAGATTGGCAGCTGTCCTCAGAGGCTGGGCCTCAGTGTTCAGGGACACACCCCAAGGCTGGCCCAAGCCCTTTCATTCCTCCCACTTCATCCCACCCCTAGAAGCTGAGGTCACCCGCTCCCCCTGGGCCCAGGTGGGGCTGTCATCACCTGGTTGGTGGAGGAGGAGGAGGAGGCAGGCCCCTCGGGCTGTTGCCATAGCTGTTGAGTAACCTGGGAACTTGCTTTGCCAGGACTGGTTCCCAGGCCAGGCTAGAACCTGTGGAGGCTGTAGCCCCTGTGGCTTTGGGGACCTTAGGGGGGTATGTCACAGTTTTGAGGGGAATTGTCCTTCTGAGGAAACTAGGCTGAGTAGGAGTGAGGGCCTGGGTAATTCAACAGGGATCTGGGGACCCAAAAAGCACATTTCTCTCCCTCAGAGCCCATCCCAAAGGCCGCGGTTGTGAACCTCTGGGAGTCCCCCCAGACAGGACACAGCGCACTCACCCACCCCTCCTTCCTCAGGTGTCCCTCAATGCGTGGTTCTGGTCCACGGTCTTCCACACCAGGGACACTGATCTCACAGAGGTGAGTGCTCTCATCCCTCTTGCACGGACAGTGCCAGAGGGGAACAGGCGGCTTGGGCAGAACGGCCTGTAATGTGTACCCTCTGTAGGCTCCTAAGGTTTTAAGGTTCCATCACTGGCTCGTTTTGCCTCAGAGAAGTGAAGTCATTTGCTCAAGGCTACCAGCTAGTAGGAGTGATCGGGACCAGTGTCCTTGAATTCAGCTCTGAATTCAGTGGTGTGCACTCATGTGGCACACCCACTGATGCCATGAAAACCTGGCTGCAGAGCAGTGTTAAAGCACGATGCCAGGGCCAAGCAACCATGGCTCACACCTGCAATCCTAGCTCGGATGACAGTTGAGGGGTATAGTTTACTCAGCAGGCTGAGATCTGAGGATCAGAGTTTGAAGTCAGGCCCAACTGAAAAGTCCTTGAGACTCTTATCTCCGACTAACCAGAAAATAAGCTGGAAATGAAGGTGTAGGCCAAGTAATAGAGCACCAGCCTTGAGTGTGAAGTCCCGAGTTCAAGCCCCAGTTTACACACACACACACACACACACACACACACAGGTATGCACACTAAACCATTGTGCAATGTGAACATAGTGAATCCGTCAGGGTTAAATCACCCTGGGCATATGGCCACATCTCTGTTGACTGCAAGCCTAGGCCCAGGCCCTCCCTGCCCCTGTCCCCAGTGGCTCCTTTGATGGGCTCTGCGCTCTGCAAAGCCTTTGAGTACCCTAGTCTCCTTACATGGCCCTGTGGGCTCTCCCCATCCTCAGAAGATGGATTACTTCTGTGCCTCTGCTGTCATCCTGCACTCTATCTACCTGTGCTGTGTCAGGTGAGTCTATCTGAAGGGCTGGGGAACAGGTGGGCAGTGAGGGGCTCCTCATCCTCCCCAGAGGTACTGTTCAGGGCCTCTTCCCTGGCCTCCCCAACACCACCAGGCTGCCCTGGGGGAGGGGCTGCCCTCTTTGGGCAGGGGAGAGGGCAGTGGCTTCAGCAAGGTGCACTCCTGTTGAAGAAGGTGGTTCAGGGAGCGGGATAGCTGCCTGCCACCTTGAGCTGCTTTGGGTGGTGGGCAGGACCGTGGGGCTGCAGCACCCGTCTGTGGCCAGTGCCTTCCGCGCCCTCCTGCTGCTGCTGCTGACCGCACACGTCTCCTACTTGAGCCTCATCCACTTTGACTATGGCTACAACTTGGTGGTCAACGTGGCAATTGGTAAGGCAGGACAGAAGCCCCAGAGGTCCGGCCATGTGCAGAACAGGGGGGCGGAGGAAGTTAGAGGTTCTGGAGAGGCCTTGGGAGGAGGAGGGAGAGGTGAGGCTGAGGACAGGCTGAGGATGGGCCCAGGACTAAGCACTTGGAGGGTGGCCTGGGGACAGGGAGGAGGTCTGATGAGTGAGCCTGTGGTGCCCACCGATCCCCAGGTGTGGTGAACATGGTATGGTGGCTGGCCTGGTGCCTGTGGAACCGCCGGCAGCTGCCTCATGTCCACAAGTGCATGGTGGTGGTTTTGCTGCTGCAGGGGCTGTCCCTGCTTGAACTACTTGACTTCCCACCCTTCTTCTGGATCCTGGACGCCCATGCCATCTGGCACATCAGCACCATCCCTGTCTACATCCTCTTTTTCAGGTGGGTACCAGCCCCAGCCCAGCGTTCACTTTTCTTTGTGCCCTTCCTTGCCCAATCCTAAGGAAGACTGAGGGCTCCATGTGTTGCTGGCCTCCTTCCAGCTTGCCCATGCCCTCCCACTTTGTCCCAGGGAGCTCCCAGAGCGAGGTGCCAGCCTCAGTGGGCTTCTCCTCCTGCCTACAGCTTTCTGGAAGATGACAGCCTATACCTGCTGAGAGAATCAGAAGACAAGTTCAAGCTGGATTGAAGACCCTAGGAGCAGATCTTCCCTTCCTGCCAGCTCCCCCCTCCTCCCTTCCTCATGAAATGACTTATTTTCTCCTTTTAGCTTTTTGAACTCATGATAGAGGTGGGCTGAGAATCATGGAGCTGCCCACCCCTTGTTTGTACTCCCAGGGCTTGGAGTCTGTCCTTGTGATGGCCTCCAAACATCTGGGCAGCCCCTCTGATACCTCTAGATGAACTGGACCTGGACCAAGTTCTACTCAGAAGGACGCTGCTTCTATCTCCCCCCACCCCCCATCAGCCCTTCCCCCACCACATCCTTCATCTGTGGGATACTAGTACCATGGGTCTTTGGGATGCAGTGATACAGTGGGGTCTCCTATTAGCCCTGCCCTCCTCCAGAGTGCCACTAGGTGGCACTGGATGCCTGTTCTTCTGCCCAGCTCTATCCTGGGGGTTTCAAGGGACGGAGATGTTTGGATTGGTTGGGATTGACATTTCATCTGGCCTACTCCATGCAGACTTCCAGAGCCTCACCACACTTCCTTTAGGGCCAGGACCCCAGATGCTCCAGGATATGAATCCTGTGCTGCTCTTCTGGTTGGGAGCCCACACAGTAGTGTGTAGGACAGAGGTAACCAGGCCTGGGCATGGAGAACTCAGACCTGAGCATGCAATGTGTATGGTATGTGTGTGTGTGTGTTCAGATACAGATGGGTGAGCATAAGTTTGGGAAAGGTGTGATTTAGTGTGAGTGTGCGGTGGATACTTGCTTGAGATGAGCACGAATGCAGGTGCACGTGCCACACGTGGTGTGGCGGGGGGGGCGGCGCGGTTGGAACAGAGTGAGAGTCAGCACCATCAGCAGTCACCTGAACACCAAGGATGCAGCCAGGCTCTGTGTGAGTGTATGTGTGTGTGTGTGTGTGTGTGTGTGTGTTTCTTTGACATCTTCCTCCAAACCTCATAGGACCTCACATAACTTAAGAGCTCCCTCTAGAACCAGCCCCTTGGGGGATAGAGGGAAGGAAAATAGGATTCCAACATCTTCGGGCTTCCCTGTCTCCTTGCCTTCCATGGTTGGCCTCCTTTTCCAGTTGGTTTTTGTTTTTCTTTTGTTTGTTTTTTTTGCCAGTCGTGGGGCCTGAACTCTGGGCCTGGGTGCAGTCCCTCAGCTCTTCAGCTCAAAGCTAGTGCTCTACCACTTGAGCCACAGCACACTTCTGGCTTTTTTCTGCTTATGCTGAGGAATCGAACCCAGGGCCTCATGCATGCAAGGCAAGCGCTCTACCACTGAGCCTCCTTCCCTGCCCTCCTTTTCCAGTTCTTGACTCTAGGCTCTCAGCACAGCCTGGTTTGGGGTGTATCAGCTAATCTGGAGGCCAGGGGAAAGAGCTGTGGTGCAGTCGGTTTCTGCCCTCTGCAGAAGGGCCTGGGGACAGCTGGGACAGGCAGGAGCTCCACTGCTGGCATCCTGGAGGAGGTGACCCCTGGCAGTGTGTGCAGCCGTGACACTGTCCTCTGCAGGATAGAGTGTAGCTACACAACTCCTCCATCCTGAAGGCAGTGTGTTGCAGCCTGGAAGCCTGGACTTGTGTTTTGTCCCTTCCCTGTCCCTCCTTGCAGGGAGGGGTGCAATGCCAGGACTCCAGCCTCAGATTCTTTTGATACTAAAGAACTATTTTTCAAGTGGGAGATAGCAAGGGACATGTGTAATAAACTGATTCCCTGCCTCACTCACCTGCCTTAGGCTCAGATTTGTGTGTAGGGTGGGCTGGTGGGAAGAAGGAGAAGCAGATAGAGACTGGGTCTCTACCAGGGGCTAGGAGCAGAGGCTGGGCAGAGCTCAAGTCCAATCTGCAGGGCGGGGGTGGGGGGGAGGGGGAGCTGACACTGATTCTGCCACTCACTTCTCAGGCCTTAACACCCCCTAACTCCCTGCCACCGGGCCACCACTCCACTTATCTCCTGACTCTCCAGCTTCTTCGGGACTGAACCTGAGTCACTGCAGCTTATTACCTAACAGCTCCGAGCTTCTCCTGGCAACAGAATAACAGGACCCCCCCTCCCCCAGCCACTGCTGAGCTGCAAGGTAAAGCCAGCAGTAACTGCTACAGGGCCTTCCTGATTTTGAGAAGGATGAGCATACAGAGTGCTACCCTCACGGAGGCTTCTGAACAAAAACAAAGGCGAAAGTGGGTGCTGCCCACCCCTACAGGAGATCTCTGCCCCCTTGTTGCTCTCCAGAACTGCAGATCGTGAACGCTTGGCATCAGGAAAGGATATCTTTATTAGGTGCCACCTCAGGCAACAGGGAAGCAGGTGGGTGAAGGCCACAGGGTATGGGCACACAGTTCTCACACCTCCACCCCCCCTTTCTTCTGGGCCCAAGCAAAGAAGATGCCCTTGACATCATCCACCCCTGTGCGGAGATGGGCAGGCATGATGTAGGTGCGAAGGTCTCGGACCTCATAGCCACTCAGCACCAGGGCCTCCCTCACCTCCTCCTCACACACTGGCACCACAGCCAGCCTGGCCTCCCCGGCCAGGTACCACGACTCTTCCAGGGCCCCAATGAGGAGGAGGTGCCCCCCAGGCCTGAGCAGCGTGGTGATGTGGTGCAAGGCTTGCTGGAAGCTGGCAAGGTCTGGGCTCACCGCCTCCAAGCAGAAGGCAGACACCAGGGCATCAGCAGGCAGGGGTGCCAGGCTCCCATCTCCCAGAGGCTGAGGCTGGTGCACATCAATGGGGAGGACTCGCTTCACTCTGGCTCTCAGCAGACGTTCCTTCTCCTGCCAGGATTCACTGGGGGGTGGAGGGGGACACAAGGCAGGTCTCATCCCCACCCTCAGTCCTCTGCTGTCCCCCACTAGCCACTCCATGGGAAGCCCCCTGCCCTTACCCCCTGCCCTTACCCCTTGCCCTCGATGAGGCAGACATGCTGGCTGTACACACTCCAGTCAAAAGCCATGGGTTCCTCTCGCAGCCAGAGTCCCAGCTCCTGACGGTTGACCTCCAGGAAATCGGTCATGGTGATGTCCTCAAAGTAGCTGCAGGCACTGAGCAGCTGGTATATGGTGGGACCAGAGCCAATGTCTATGAGGGTGTGTCCAGACACCTCACCTGGCAGGGCAAAGGAAGAGGGGTCCTATGTCTGCCCGAGCAGCTGCCCCTGCCTCACACACCCTCTCCTTCCTCCTCTCTGCCCTCTCCTCACCCTTCCCCAGTTCCTCTACCTCCCTCCTCAATGGCCCTCTGAGATTAGACGGAACCAGGCTGTCCCGATGGTCCGTCCTGGAGTGGCTTTGGGAAAGGCTCTTGGACCCTCTGACTCAGGTTCCACGTCTAGAACACTGTGGCTCTGGGAAGGGCTAAATGGGGAGATCTGGAAACACCTGGCCTTCCCCCTCACGCTGCTTTCCCCAGTCTCTGCATCTGCTTTCCTCTCAGTCTCCCACTTCACCAGGCAGATCTGAGCATCCTTCCCGCAGTTACACTCCTCTTTGCTTCTTTTTAAAGAGATGGAGTCCTGCCATGTTGCTCAGGATGGCTTGGCTCTCCTCAGCTCCCGCAATCCTCCTGCCTCGGCCTCTGCAGTAGCAGGGATTACAGCTGTGTGCCGCTACGCCCGGCTACCTCTTCCTCTACCTCTTACCTATCTCTGCTTCGGGTCCACCCGCCGGCCCTCCACCCCGCTTTCTGCACAGGTGCCTCCGTTTCCCTGCGCTCAGCTCACCAGTAGAGAAAGTCTGAGCCAGGCAACGCAGCTTCCAAGGCCCGACGCCGTCGGGGCTGCGCAGGTCCCCGCGAGGCGGTGCGTAGTTGTTGCGGAGATAGGCGCGGGGCTCGAAGCGCTGGTAGGCAGAGGCCACTGCCGCCCGGCCGGGGTCCGCGGCGTGACTCATCCTGCAGCCCTGGCCTGCCGTGTGTCCCGCTCCCCCGCCTCGCGGCCCCTTTATCTGCTTCTGGACCCCCGCCCCGACCCCTGGGCTGCGGGGGCGGCGGCTGAGCGATGAGCCGCCCCGGGGGCCGCGCGCCCCGACACCCATCCATCTCCCTTAGTGTCCTGGGAGCAGACACGCCGGAGGTGCGGGGGGGGGGGGGCGCCATGGAACAGCAGGACCCGCCCCACCCTCCCTCCCTCTGCAAGGACTCCAACAGCCCTCACCCTTTCCCTGGGCCCCCACCCCAGCTCCTGATCCTGCGTGCTGCACCCCTCCCCGCTGCTCCCCCTCCTCTCCTTGTCAGCTCCTGGCAGCTATTTACCCCCTTTTGCCCATCACCCCATGCCTTCTCTTCTCCGGGGTCTGAATTAGGCCCAGTCCCCCAAATCCCGTGCCCTCCTAACAGGCCTCCAGACGCCCCCCCCACCTCCCCCCCACTTTCCTCTGGGACACCCTTGTACTAACACCCCAACTCTCCTAGGGCCCTCCTCCAGTGCCTGCCATCCCCACCTCAAAGAACAGTCTGTCCTGGCCTCTTCCATAATTGCCCCGGGGGCCTTGAGTTGGGTTCACCCTCCTCCCTGTCCTGTCGGATGGAAGCAGTGATAGGGGAGGTGAATGGGGCTAATGCACTCACTTAGCAAGCAGAACAGCCTCGCTGGGGGCCCCTTGGGCGCTGAGATGCTTATCTGGGCTGCCCAGGGTAGAAAGTTCCTGATGTTCCTGCCACATTAGAGACACCCAACTCAGGTGACAGCAGAGGGTGCTGAACACACTCTGCCTAGCCATGACTCCTAGGGGTGGTGTGACCACATATTTGGCATTCTCTGAACCCTGTTGTCTCTCAGGTACCAGGCATGAAGGATGCTAATCCCCTCAAATGGGAAGCCATTCTGTCCACAGCATCTCCATGGTCTCTGCCTTGAGTAGGCCACTTGCCTCTGCTAAGATCAGCTTCTGGCCGACTCTGTGGCCCTCCTTGTCCCAAGGGGAAGCTCTCCTTGTTGAGCCAGGCAGCCAGTTGGGACATGAGTCATTGCAGCAGCTGCAGAGGTCACACACAGGAACTTGACCCCATCCCTCTCCGCACTCCCCCCCCCCCCCCCCCCCCCCCCCCCCCCCCCCCGGCCAGAAAGGGTAGAGAACCTGACTCCAGCAACTGACTGATTATGTCTGGATATGTAGCTGAGAGGCCTTGGGGGTCATTGACCCCTACATACCCCAGGTACAGCCAAGGACAGTCCTGATGCCAAGCCCCTTCCTATTCTCCACAAGATACCATTTAAACAAACCCCCGTGCCAGCTGGCCTGCCAGGCACCACCCAGTGCCAGGGGCTGGGCATGAAAGCCAGGAGTGGGGCAACACTCAGGAGATGGGAAGAGGACCAGCCAGCCACCGTTCATTTTACAGCTCTGCTCTGAACCCCACTCCCAAGTATGAGGTGCACCCTCTGGCTCGGCCATATTTAGCTCAGATGCAGGGCTGTTCCCAGAAGTGCATGGAGAGGCACCAATGGGCTGGCCCCACTTTCCCCGCCTCCCCCCCCCCCCCCCCCCCCAGTAACCACAAGGAAAGAGACAGACTGGAACATGGTTGAGCTTTTATTGCAGTACTAACAGAGGGTGCCGGGGCCCTGCCCTGCCTCTGCCCTCTTCACATCCCCCTCCCTCCAGTCTCCAAACTTCCTTCCCAGGCTTCTCTGAAGCTGAAACCTGGACCAAGTCACTGTTCTCAGGGGCCTCTCGCCCTCACTACCATCTTTCAGTCACTTCTGGAGCTGAGGGTGCTCATCTGTGAGGACCCCCAGCTCTTCACCCCTTGTGTCCACCATCTTCGTTCCCCTCCCTTTGGGAACTCAGGGGACCCAGGCATCCTGGCCTCTGGCTCCCACCTTCCATAGCCCCTCAACTCTGGGCAAACTACAAAGCAGCCACGGCCAGCAGCTCCATGGTCCTAGCCAGGATGGGCCCAGCCCAGGGTAGGCACGGTGGAGCCCAAGTCAAGTCCCTCTCAGCCTCTCTGTGCTTCCTGGGACATGGAGCGGGACAGGGTTCGGCGGAGGGCTCCCGGCTTGCTGACAGGGACCACGGGAGGCAGTTGCTTGGTGATCTCAGCCACGTCCTGGCGCTCTGTGCACTGGCCACCCAGAGCTGTCTCTAGCGCCAGCAGCTCCCGCAGCTGGATGGGGGTCTCCTCGCGCTCCTGCTTGGCGACTCCCAACTTGGTTGGGGTGAAGATGGGCAGCGGCAGCACTCGCTGGTAGGGCAGCTGGTACTCTTGCAGCCCACGGCCCAGGATGCCCAGGCGCATCACCAGCCAGGGGGATTGCTGCACCAGGGCCTGGCATTGCCCCTGCCGGTGGTAGGTCTCATGCCGCTGGCTATCCTCCTCATGCAGGGAGCAGCTGGAAGGGGGGGGGGCGGGGGGACAGTGAGCTCCTGAGAGCTGCCGCCCTCCAGGCTCAGGCCAGATAGGGGCTCCTCGGACCCAGCCGCTGTGGGTCTGGTGTTGGGGGGGGAGGGGGGGGGGGCGGAGGCTGACTCCACTCTGCTCTCCTATGTGATCACCCTTCTTGCCCTTATCCACAGAAACTTGGGGGTTTTTGTACTCTAGCCTCAGATGGCTCGGGAGGGTGCTTTTGGGGAAGCAGAGGCAGGGCTCCCATCTGACCCAGACTCACCCCTCCTCCGGCCTTGTGGACAGAGTCAGATCTTTCCATTCAGCCCAGAAGGCCTCCCGGCGCTCCCGGTTCTCCTCTGATACCTGGCAGCTCATTTCCACAGTGGCCATGATCACTCCTTGTTCCCTCTACACCACTCTGCGTCTCCTGGGCCCTTTAAATAGTCCCCTTCTCCCCCTTCTCCAGGGGCTATTTTCAGCCCCTCTGGCGTCAGATGCTATAAGCAGAGCCAAGACTCACTTGTGTAGGGGCTCTGAGTCAGGGCGGGGGCAGGGGGTCCCTGGAGTCTAGCTGCCTTTAGGTCAGAGGTCAGCTTCTCAAGGGATCAGGATGCTCTGGTGGGGGCTTGGGGGCCTCAAAGGAGCAATTCCAGGTGCCTGACACTCGGCAGATACCAACTCACACCAGGCACATGTCCCGCCTCGTGCCACCTTGGCAGTGCCCTCTGCCCCGCCTGTTCCCCCTTGCTCAGGGACGATAGCAGCTTGTAAACAGAGGAGACAGCAGGAACTGATGCCCCTTGATCTGTTCCAGGGCTGCTGATCCCCCCCAGCCCCCACCACCCATCCTGAGCTCAAGGGCACATCCCTAGCTGGGCCCCTGGACAGTGCAACCATGTCCTCAGGCTTGTGTACTGAAGGCCCCACCCCACGCCAGCAAGGAGGAGGGGAGATTAATTCCATAACAGGGACCCTAGGATATGAAGCTCTCCTTCCAGTAGCCAGTGGCCAAAGGTCTCTTAGATGCAGCCAGAGTAGAGAGGGTAGCTATGAGAGACAGTCCTTCAGACACCCAGGTCCTCAAGGGGGAAAACAGGGTGAGATGGGAACCAGACATTCTGAGAGTCGCAGGCAAAAACCTAGCTCTAGCTCCAAGTTTCGCTGTGGAGCTGACCATGGGCCAGCTCGGGGCTTCGTTTTCCCTATTTTTTTTTGGCCATAATGGGCTGACAGAAGAGCTCAGGTGAGTCAACTCCAATGTATTACCTGGGAGGGGACTTTTGTTCAGGGAGAGCAGGAGAAACGATGCTGAGGCCACCCAAGGGAGCAGCACCTGCTTCAAATAGCTAACAAGCAGCATGGTGGGCATTAGGAAGAGGCAGTACTGGGTGATTCCTGATCAGTCTTTTTCTTTTTTTTCTTTGCCAGTCCTGGGGCTTAAACTCCAGACCTGTGTGCTGTCCTTGGGCTTTTTTTTTTTTTCTTCTTCTTCTCAAGGCTAGTGCTCTACCACTCGAGCCACAGTTCCAATTCCACCTTTTTTTCTGATTAACTGGAGATAAGAATCTCAAAGACTTTCCTGTCCTGGCTGACTTTGGACTATGACCTTCAGATCTCAGCCTCCTGAGTCGCCAGGATTACAGGCATGAGCCACCTGTGTCCAGCTTGATTACTGAGCATTCTGCCTCCTCTGGGTGCCTCTCATCTCACAGCTATACATGGTGGGTCCCATGTAGAAGCAAGAACTGGAGGCTCAGAGAGGTGGACTTGCCCAGGGTCACACACCCACCCAGTATTAAGACAGGATTCTTCTGCTTGAGGGTAGCTTTGGAAGCCTACTAGCAGAAGGCAGGCAGAGGAGAGCAGGCCCTTGCTTTTCCTGGATCCCTCTTCTATGAAGGCGGTGGAGACTAAGAGGGTAGTGAGCACAATCCAGAGGTCTATGGGTCTGGTGGGCTGGGGTCTCACAGTTAGATCAATGATCTGGAAGCCCAGTCCCCAACTCCAGGTCTCCTTGGAGTTGAGACAGCCTGCTGTGGCTGTTCCTGGGCAACTCACCTTTCATCCTGGGCTGCAGACCTTAGCCTGTGTTCACCAAGGCCTGTGGCCAGCTGGGCTGGACTACTTGGGAAAGGGGAGCTCAGGAACGGGGCTCCTGCAGATGCCTTCTGGGTGAGCTGGCATTTCTGCATGAGTAGTGGCCCTTGCTTGCCCATGTACGTGCTACCCTGCTCTACCCTCAAGAGTACAAGTGAGGCTGAAGCCAAGGCCAGGGCACAGGCACAGGGAAGGCTGCTGGGTTAGTTTGATTTCATATTTTTTTAATTGGCTCAAATTACAAACATCCCCAAGAAGGCCATGGGGAGAAGGGGAGGGACCTAGGAGAGACAGAGATGCGCTGCCAACACCCATCGCCCCCACCTCCACACAAGTACATAAGTATGTATGGAAAAAGGTCCCTGACCTTAAATAACCTTAAGAAAACGTGACGGGAGAGCAGGCAGAAGGGCCTGCCACCTTTACACTAGTGGCAGCTGCCCAGCCCTGCTCAGGACTCAGCCCTCCCGCTCTGCCTCCCTCCATAACCAAGTCTAAGGTTTCCATTCCAGCCCTGCTCCTCAAACGCAAAGCAGAGGACATGGATCTTTTCTTCCTTGAGGCAGGGCCTGCATGCAATCAGCAGCAGGACAGAGCTTTAGAACGGAACTCCTCCTTCAGCCAGTGGTCCTCAATGCAAATGATCAAGCCCACACCTGCTGAGGCCAAGGCTCCCTGCCCTGTGGAGGGCTGCAGCAGAGAGCCCAACTAGTTCCCCTTTCCAGCTCCGGAGGCTATGGTGTCAGGACCCTGGCCTGCAGGGTGGGTGAGGGGTCTGGTCATGCCCGGGCTCCCAGCTCTCCAATGCGCTGTCGCAGGTGAAAGGCGAATTCGAACATGGTGGCTGCAAGGCTCTGGTGGATGAGGTACCGAGGCAGGCGGCCCTGGGGGAAGGCAGGAAGTCACACCATGATTTGCCCCCGGCAGGGTTTTCTACCCACAGCTCACACCAGCAGGAGTGCCTTAGACCAGAGGGCAGGTGCAGCTCTGGAATCTGCCTGGGCCCCCCTTCTCCCGAGGGTGGCGGGCAGAACATGCTGTGCCCAGTTCCTGGCACCAGCAATACAAACAGGCCCGAGTGGGCTGGGCTGGCAGCCAGCCACTGCTGCCAGGGCCTTGGGAGAGGTAAGAAATGAGGCAGGAGGCGTGCGACTCCTACAACTCAGGGTGAGGACGCCATCGGACTCTGACCCCAGTCCTTGAGTGAGAAAGGAGGCTGAAATTAGGAGGCTCTGGGCCTGGCAGAGGACCTCAAAGATAACACAGCAGCCTGAGGCCCATGTCATAGCCCCCCCAGTACTCCACCTTGAGATCTGTGTTAAGAATCCAGATGAATGTGCAGACTCGGGGATTGCTGGCTGACTTGAGCACGATGAAGCCCCCAGGTCCGTTCTCCCCCCTAGGACAACAGCGTCGCTGAGAGAGACTTCCTGCTGAGCAAGGCCCCTCCACTTCTCCCCCATTTCTGGCCCAACTTGGACAGTGGGGGAAGAGGGGTCTGGTCTAGGAACCCCCAATCCAAGGCTTCAGGCTCAGACTGTCTGCCAGTACTGGCATAGAGCTCACCACCTGCCTGGCCAATCCACTCTGTGACACCAGCTCTGGCTGTGGAGGGAGGGATGGCCTGGAGTGGCACTTCTCACCCTGCTCAACTCAGGAAGCAGTGTGGTACCATGGGCCCCAGAAGAGGGGGCTTTCTAAGGACACAGCCAGGTCCTGGGTGTGGGCTCACCTCCTATGGCCTTTTCACAGAGCACGCTTAAGCCCATTCTGCAGATAAGGAAGTTGGCAGGCAGAAGAAGTGTGTTTGCCCCAGCACCTGGCATGTCTATCTTAGTGCCATGACAGAGCCCCAAACTCAAGTTCTAAGAAGAGTGTGCTCTGTGTCTGTGTCCCTCCAGCGCTGCTTCCAGGATTAGCCAGCAGGGGGCGCCGTGAGGAGGCCAGGACTGGCAATAAGCAAGACACACCTTTTCTTCTGAGGGCACTTTCATATCATGTAGGAGTAGGACAAGGTCCAGGCAGTAGGGACAGGGGAGGAAGAGGAGGAAAGGGGCCCTACATCTCCTGAGGCAGGAAGATGAAACTAGAACTCAGAGCCCAGCATGACATTATAGCTCCTCAGCCCCATTCCCATTCCCTAGACTAGACTTCTGGCCTGTAGTCTCTGGGCCAGCTGCCTACCACTCAGTCCCCTCCTTGGTGGCCCGGTTCCAGCCAGCCAGATTAGCAGGATTAAGGACTGGGAGACTGAAGGCCGGCAGGACAGGAAGCAGGAACAAGGCCTCAGCAGGGGAAAGCACCCAGCTGCAAACATTGTATTCTGAGCTGCTTATTCAGGTTGGGTACAACCCGCCCTGCCTCTTTCAAGACCAGACTCACCTGACATATTTATGGGTTGGGGGTTTGGCACAGTGCGTGGTGGCAATGCCTGATGATAGGTATCGGTCTCTGCGCCGCTCAATGCGCCGGACGTTCACAAAGTCCCTGGGGAGGGGGAAGGGAAGGTCAGAACAGGGAACCTGGAGCCCAAGGTCTGGGTCAGGCCTTGCTGAGAAGAGAGGGCTTGGGACACTCACCTGGGGGAGACCACACCGCCCGCGGCCCCTGCAGACACATCGTAGGAGATGAGGGTGTTGTCTTCAACCCGCTGCAGTATCTGAGGACCAGTCAGGAAGATGTGGGGTACAGCTCTCCCCTGACTGCCCTAGGGAGTCTCAGCACCGCAGAAAGCTCCCATGGCTCCCAGAGCCATGTCCATGTGTGTGGACCCTGCGTTGGGCACTCAACCCACCTGGCCTTGACCATCATGCAACTTCCCAGAGGACAGAGAATATGAGACAAAGGGGGCCCCCATGATCCAGCCAGTGACTGACTGCGTAACTGGTTCCATAGGGAAATGCCTGTACCGCCATCCTTGTGATGAGGGGGGTTGGGCAGGGTCAGGCGGGCTCACCTGGCAGGCAGTCACCGTCTTGTTCCACAGCACCATCCTCTCGGGCTGCAGGATGACCTCTTGGTATACCAGCTCAGCGCAGCAGGGCAGGAAAGTCTGTGAAAGGCAGGCCACGGCTGGGTGGTGCCAGAGTAGCTTGGTACCCCAGCTCCCTCTGCTGGGAAAACCTGCTAAGGGGATCTTTGGCCCCTTCCTGGAGCCCCAGATGGAACCTGGAGCCCCTTCCCCCACTCACCTTCAGGATGAAGGTCTTGCCATGAAAGGGAACCTCAATGGTATACACAGTGTCCCCGTACTCCTGTGGAAGGGACAGGTGGCAGGGAGGTGAGTGGGGGGCACAAGGGGTAGACTAGCGGCAGAGGAACAGATAACAGGCAAAGTCTTCCAGCAACTCAGAGTGGAAAACTCCAGGCGTCCAGGGACAGTGGTTCTGACAAGAATGGCTACAAGGAGAGAGGCTCTGCTCTCAAGCTGAAATATGGCAGTGATCACAAGAACCACCAGAGGGACTGGCCAGGAGGGAATGAGGCGGGCCCCGGGTTCTCTAAGCTCTCTGCAAGCCTTTTAGATGTTGTTTTGATCATGAAACAAAACACCGGACACAGGGCAGAGCATGGAGTCTGGCTTCCCCTTCAAAGCTGGAGCTAAAGAAGCCAAGCAGCAGGGAGGTGAGGACGAGGCCACAGAAGTAGGGAACACACAGGAAATGCCAGTCCCCCCTGGCCTCCTTCCCAAAGGCCTATCCCAGGACTCAGTCCCTCTCTTCTGGAGCAGGAATGTAATTATGGCCATGCAATCCTCAGCTTTTCTCAGGCCTCAGAAAAAGGCCCTCCTTACATTATTCTTCTCGAACTTCCAGTTCTCCTCCTGGGCCAAGATCTGGTCCACCACTGCAGTGGCCTCCCTTCCCTGGCGGACGTACTCCCGCTCCTGCCAGGGGTGGGAGATGAAAAGGTGTCACCCTGTGGCCTCCTTTGCTCATGGCCTGTTCTTTCCGGCATTCTTCATCTCCTCCCAGAGGAACCAGGCTGAGCCAGATCAGGGGATTGGGGCTGGTATCCCCAGGTCCTGGAGGCCTCCTGAAGCCTGGGAGTTGGGCTCCTCCTATGCCCCCAGTTATGAGGAAGACCAAGGGGCTTGATGGGAAGACATTGGGATGGATGGGCACTGACTGGCACTCAGGCTGCCCAAGGTCCACCCTTGCAAGGGAAACTTGGCTTGACTCTGACCAAACCCAGCCCTAGCCTCTCTGAGGGTAGGGTGGCAATGTGCAGCCAAATACCTGGGCAGAGAAACTTTTCTTTCCTGTGACTTCCTCATCTGATTCATTGTCAGACCCTGTGAAAAATAAGTGCAGACGACAATGGCAGAGGGGAGGGAGAGCGCGTAGGAGGTGGTGGGTTCGGGATGTGAGTGCAAGGATGTGGGGGCTAAGAGTGTGGGAGAGGGCTGCTGGCTTTCCCTAGGGAGCCTGACAGAACAGAAAGAACAGACCCAGCCTACCCTGCTCCTCACACGGCCCCTCCCTGAAGGTGAAGGCAGCTCCCCCACCCACCAGCCCTCACCTGCAAAGGATTCTGGGGGTGAATAGAACTGCCCCTCCGACAGAGTACCAGGGAACAGTAGGGGTCCACGAGCAACAGCAGCTTGGGCAGCAAGATACCCTGGGGGAAGAGACATGGGTAACCATTAACTGAGACCACCAACAGCTATGCTACAGCAGTCTGGAAACCCTGCACCTCCCCCCCCACCCTCCCTCCCCACCCCATCTCAGGCTTACCCTTGGGCCTCTGGGAAGTGGCAAAGTGGCTCACAATTGCCTGCAACTCTCCTCTCTCAGAGCTAAGATGACCCTCACTGAACCCAGGCCCTACCCCAGCACTCACATCGCTCCTCCTCGGCCTCCTGGGGTAGAACTTTGAAGTCAAGGAACCAGGTCTCCAACCAGGCGAGGACAAAGGAGACAATGGGGAGCAGATAGCCAAATGCCCCTTTGCTGAGCAGCTGAAGTAGAAGGAAGGGGCTGAGTGACATGCAGGGGTCACCCAACACCAATACTATCCCATGACCACCAGCTCTGGCCAACCAAACTAACCTACACCCCTTCCTGGTCCCAGCTGTTTAGGCATATGAAATAAATTAATTCTGAAATTAATTAAGTCAGGAACAGGATAAATTGTGGTCAGGCTGCAAGAAGACCTTTCTGGTTCTGGCATGTTAGGAGCAAAGAATCAGTGAGAATGACTCCTTGGAAACCTCAAAGGACAGAATTCTCCTCACTGCAATGCAGCCGACAGGGACAGATACTTGTGGCTTTTTGGTGGTTAACTGGAGATAAGAGTCTTAAAGACTTCCCTGACTGCGTTGGCTTTGAACCTTGAGCCTCAGATCTCAGCCTCCTGAGAAGCTAGGATTACAAGTCTGAGAAAAGCCCATCCCTCAGGCTAAATGCCCACCAGATCAGCTAGACCCTAAGCCACTGACCTCAGAAAGGATGACCTTGACAATAAGGAACGCACTGGACACCAGTGTAGTGACCTGCAGGGAAGGGAAGGTGGGGGCAAGAGGGAAGCCAAGGCTGGGGAGTGAGTCCTCCCCAACCCCACCCTGTGCACCCCCACCCCCACATCCCGCTGGGCCCCAGATCTGCCGCAAAGTGGCATCTTACCGCAATCACCCACCAGTGCCGGAGCCGCAGCACGGCGTAGCCCAGGAGCAGTCCAGAGAACCGGAAGAAGGCCAGTACCTAGCAGGGAGGGCATCCGCTGATCAGAGGCCAGCCTTGTCCCCACCCCTGCTGCACTCTTGCCCCCAACCTCTTCCTCCATGGGCACACCCGCCTCGGGAGACAATGGCTGGACCAATGTTCTTTGGCACAGTTTGGACAGGACCCTGTCAGGCATGGTCCCACTTGGGGCTGTCTGAAGGTGAGGCCCTGCCAAGGAGCCCTTTGAAGACCAAGGGGCTGGATATGTGCAGCAGAAGGAAGAGAATCCAGAGATGGCATTTCTTGGCTCTCTCTGTGTTCCTAGCATCCCAGGATGTTGCCAGGCCACTCACAAAGATGTCAAAGAAGGAGGTCTTAAAGCTGTAGTGAAGGATCTCCTGCTCCAGGTTCTTGCGGATGCCTGTGTTGGTCTGGGAGAAGAAGAAAGGAAAAGAACTAAGCCAGGGGGTTCCTCTGATTCTAGGAGGCAGCATGGGCTAGGGACCCTGAAGGAGAGGCAGAAGTGCCAAACCATCACCCAAAGGGGCTCCTGAAGCATCCTGGGAGGTTGTCTAGAGGTCTAAGACCCTGGCACCGATACTGTGCCCAAGGATCCGGCAGCTCAGGAGGGAAGGGCTGGGTTAAAGCACACTGCCTGAGAATGGGCAGACCTAAAGGCCTAGAGTTCTGCAGGGGAGGTGAGGGGCTAGGCAGGGTGAGAGGGATGGATGCTGGGACCTGCTTCATATCATTCCATTTCCCTCCATCTTCCCAGCCAACAATCCATCTGGAGTAATGGGCCAGGGTGGGTAGTGGAGTCAGACAGAGCCCCAGGTGGTAGGATCAATTGATTAGGTTTATACTTAATGAGCAAAATCCATCACACACTGCTGGAGAGGACAGCATGGTAAGAGAGAAGCTAGACCTGTCCTGCTTCTGTCTCTGCCCCGGCCACCACACACTGACACCAGAACCTTGGTCTGGATCCAGTGTTGGGGTAGGGGTGGAGGTGTCCTGTGAGATAGCGGGGAGGGGTAGATGGATTCCAAAAGACAGACTGCGGCTGACATCCTCAGAAGGGACGAGGGTTCTAGGCCCCAGGAGAAGAGAAGGAACACAGGATTCTGGGAATGGAACCCAGGAAATCTCTCAATGACAACTCAGGTTGCTGGCAGGTCATCTGGATTTTAGGGGAGACTTGTTAAGTCACAGATGCTAAGGCCATTGAGCTTGAACCTCAGGGTGAGCTGAACATCAAGAAATCTGTGTCTGTATGTGTGTGATACTAGGGTTTGAATTCAGCCCTTATGCCTGCTTGTGGGTGCTTTACCACATGAGCCAAATTTCCAGCTTAGTTTACTTTGTTTTCCTCTATCTAAGGCCCACATAACTGGGATTACAGATATGAACAACATCCCAGCTTATTTGTTGACTTGGGTTCTCACTTTTTCCCAACTGACCTCAAACCACCATTTTTCCAATCTCTGCCTCCAGAAGAGCTCAGATTACAGAACCATAGTACCTAGTCAAGTATCAGGAACCTTTATAATACTCCTAAGTAAACTGGTCATGGTGGCTCACACCTCAAATCCCAGCACTCAGGAGGCTAATATGTAATGATCTTGAGTTTTAAGGCCAGCTTGGGTTACATAGTAAAGTCAAGACTAAGCCTAGGCTACATAGCAAGACCCTGTCTCCACAAAACAAAACAGCTCCCAAGTGTTTTGGAGGCTGGGTGGGGGCTGCAGTCAAGAGAGCTCCTCTCTTGACACTAGTACACCTGTTGTACCTTCACCATGTGCCTTTGGCCCCAAAACACAAAGCCCTGTAAAACCAGACACTATCTTTCCTTTGCTTGTTGGCAAAGCCCTCAGCCTGACCCCCTCCCCACCACCTTACTCCAATCCTCCTAATCCTCCTCACACAGCTCCCTCTTGGGTTCCACAGCCCCTCCCATCCCTAGCAACCACTGTCCATCAGAGCTCTGAACTCCACACTCTTCACCCTTAGCCTGGAAGTCCTGTTACTGAACAGTGGCGCTGAATGGATGACTGAAGAGAGTCGGGTTTCCATTCCTGCTTTGAAACCTCTGGTTATAAAACTTGGTGCTGGTCACATAACCATACGGGGGCTCATGGATCACATAGATACAATCCACCAGAAAACTAAAAATAATATGTTCCAAAGTATGAAAAACAGGGCTGGGAAGGTGGCTCAGTGGTACAGTGCTTGACTTGCATGCATAAGGCCCATATGCATGAGCACCACATAAGCAGAAAAAGCCAGAAGTGGAGCTGTGGCTCAAGTGGTAGAGCGCTAGCCTTGAACTGAAGAGCTGAGGGACAGTGCCCAGGCCCAGAGCTCAGGACCCACGACTGACAAAAAAAAAAGTATGAAAAACAGGATAGGAGTATTACCCAGGACAGAGCACTGAGTTAGTATGACCAGTTCTATCCCCAGTGCAATAAAGTTCTAAGTATGAAAATAAACTGGGGGGCTGGGAAGGTGGCTCAGTGATAAGAGTGCTTGCCTTGCATGCATGAGGCCCTGGGTTCGATTCCTCAGCACCACATAAGCAGAAAAACAAATACAAAAAAAAAAAAAAGAAAGAAAATAAACTGGAAATTAAATAAACTGAAATAAATAGAAATAAAACTGGAAATCAACATTTTCATTAAATGTCTGCCAAGTGAAACCCCATGCCAATACTACTAATAGTTTCCAATCTTCTGGTTTTTTTCATTACATTGAAAAGAATTTGTAGGTTAGGTTTTCTCACTTTGCAAACGTTCTCAAGTAAATGTGAGAATGGCAAGCAATCACAGCTGACAGCCAAATAACTTCAAAAGTAAAATGAGAAAAACATTTTCCCCGTTCCTCTCTGGTTATAAAATATGTATTGAATGTAGGGTGTGGGTGAATTTCAGTGTTTGCTTTGATGATAGTTGACACCTTCATAAGGAAGAAGCCTGAGACCTCTGAACCTCTTTGGCATCAGCCCTCACATTGATGGATGGCCAGAAGCCCTCCATAGTGGTGGCTCCTTATCACTGATGGTGCTTTTGCATCTCCAGTATGTAAAGGACAGTCATCCACCTCAGGGCCCTGCCTTTTGTTTCAGCTCGCTAATCCACAGCCAAACTTACCTCCCCTACCTCTCCTCTAGCCCTGCCCCAAGCACCTGAATACGTCTATCAGGAAAGTCAGGTGCAGTGATTCAGGCCTGAAATCCTAGCTATTCAGTAGGCTATTCAGTTCAATGCCAGCCAGAGCAGGAAAGTCCATGAGACTTTTATCACAGCAAAAGCTGGTAGTACAAGTATGGCTCATCTGTGAGTGGAAAAAGCCAAGAGTGACAGGCTCTAAGTTCAAGCCTCATAGTACTGTCCGTGTGCGGCATTGTTTGGTTTTCCTATCAATCAAACTTGAAACTTGGGAGGAGCCCTTACCATCCAAAATTCTGAGCCCTTACCATCCAGATTTCTTTCTGAGCCCATGCTACAGAAGGAAAATGGGGATGGGCTAGGATTATGATTTAGTGATAGAGAGCTTGCCCAGCATTCATGAAGCCCTGGGTTCCTCAGTACCACATAAACAGAAAAAGCCAGATGTGGTGCTGTGGTTCAAGTGGTAGAGTGCTATCCTGGAGCTAAAGAAGCTTAGAGACAGTGCCTAGGCCCTGAGTTCAAGCCGCATGACTGGCAAAAAACAAAACAAAAACAAAAAAAACAAGGAAAATGGGGAGAGGCTCTGAGAAGGTGAGGTCATGCATGAACAGAGGAGGAACTGGGGCAGGATTCTGCCTGCCTTTGTGGCACTGAAGGGCCAAGGGTGGGCCAAACCCTGAAAAAGGTAGAAACAGGGACCTGTGCCTAGGGAACTGCATCTCACCAAAACCCTGGCCACCAGGGACAGAGTTCATCTGTTCTTCCCACTGTATCCTGCGCTTTTAGCACAATACCTGGGACACAGCAGAGACTCAAAAAATGTTTACTCTGTGAGTGAGTGATGGATAGATGAATTGGAGCCAGAGCGCAAAGGAGGACAAAAAGAAAAAAAAAGTTTCATTAATCCAGTCAGAGGCCCCCCCAATCTTACTTTGTCCTAGTGTTCCCACTAGGGGGCAGTATGGTGCAGAGGCCAACAGCAGAACAGGAAGGTGAAGTCTGTTCACCACCCACCCTCATCAAAGTTAAAACTATTAACAGCCGCTGTTCTTATGTCCTGTTTTTCAGATACTCCATTCCATGGGCAGAGCAATCCTCACGAGTGGCAGATAGACAAACAGAGGTCTGATGACCCAATTTCTCTCCCAGCCCCACCCCACTCACGTTCAGTTCGATGATCCAGAGGAGAGAGATGAAAAGCAGGTCGAAGGTGACAAAGAGGCAGAAGGTCCGCCGAACATCAGAGATGGCTCTGCGCTTCTCTGGGGCTGGCGGGAGGAAGTGCGAGGACAGGCTCTGGCTGCAGGACAGCGATGTGCCAAGGGAGGCCACAGCTGGCAGGCTGCGCTCCAAGTCGCAGGCCAGCTCCCCAGGCAGCTTGCTCATCCTGGTGGGCCTCCACGTTGAAGTGGGGTGGGCAGGGCCTTAACGGCTAGGCTGGGGGAGCAGGCAAATGATCTTCAGTACTGGAGGTCCTGGTACTTTCTGTTCCTTCCCACAGAGCCCCGAGCACCCCCTGAAAGGTGCCCAATCCTGTCCCAACCCCACAACCCAGGGCAGTGTGTGCCCAAATTCCCTCAGTGAGCCATACCCACCTCCCAAATTCTAGAGACACAGACCTGGAGGAAGGGGGAAAACGGAGGCAGAGAGAAGTTCAGCCTCCCAGGATCCAGTCAACAGCCCCAGGGCCAGCCCCCACCCCACCCCCAGGAGAAGAGGGCCCCAGGCTCTGTTCTTTGTTTTCCCAGCACAAAGCCACAGTCCCTCCCAGCAGCCAGCCCTCCCCTCCACCCTTAATCCATGGCAACTGGGAGGGACTAGGAGGAGACAGAAGAGAGTAGAGACAAGAGACATAGAGTGTGTTCCTGCTCAAGAGGGCAGCTGACATCCCTTCTCTCTACCTTCTCTATTACCTCCTACCCACACCAAGCCTAACCATCATTGCCTACCCTCGTCTCCAACAAGCCCTGCTCCACAAGGCAGCTGCCATTTCCCTACTTACCCATGTTCTTAGGGCCTGATCCCAGGCCCAGGAGTAGGGTGGGGTGGGGGTTATGGGGGACTGCTCTGTCCAGCAATTCCTATAAGACAGTCCCATCTCCCCGCACCACCCCATAGCCATTCAAGCCTTCTTTCAGGTCCCTCAATGTGACACCCTGTCCTAGAGCTGGCCTTTGAACCTGCTCTATTGCCTAGAATATTCTTCTCCAGCCCCAAAGCCTTCCTCTCAGACCCCCTCCTGGGCCCCCACTCAGCACATATCACCTGGCTTGACTTTCTTCGGTGAACTCATTGCATTTGGAATCTCATCTGACTGTTTCACGTTATGGTTTGTCCTCTCTCGCACAGACTGTAAACTCTACTTTCAGGCACAGAAGCTTTGCCCAATTTGGTCACATTGTACAGGTGTCCAGCAAAATGTGTGACACCAGGGCTGGGAAGGTGGCTCAGTGGTAGAGCGCTTGCCTTGCATGCCAGAGGCCCTGGGTTCGATTCCTCAGCACCACATAAGCAAAAAGAAAAAAGCCGGAAGTGGCGCTGTGGCTCAAGTGGTAGAGTGCTAGCCTTGAGCTGAAGAGCTGAGGGACAGCGCCCAGGCCCAGAGTTCAGGCCCCATGACCGGACACAAAAAAAAAAAAAAAAATGTGTGACACCTGATAGAGGTTCACAACCGACTGCTGGATAAACAACCCTCCGGAGGGGCTCCTAGCCCTCAGCCCCATGCTATGCAGCAGAGGGGAACAGGACAAACTCTGAGAATCCACCATTCCCAAGTCCAGCCCAGTGTTCTGCTCCCCAATGCCCCCTCGTCCACAGTCATGCTCAACCCAGGATGTTTCCACTCAACTTAGAAAAAATACAACTGCAGCTCTGAGGGAATGGACTCATCCCCACCCTTAACATCTTGTGCAACCTTGGGGCTGTCGTGACCCCTAAAGAGCAAAGGAGGCCCAGAGGACTCCATCCCTTTCACGCAGCCCACCGCTCTAGTGTCCCTGCCCTACTAATCTGCTGGGCTCCTAGTGGGGAGGGGACCTTGTCATCCAGGAGAAAGGAAGGTCCTCTTGGGAGCCAGAGGACTTGAGTTTGGGGTGCAACAATGCATAGCTTGATGAGCCTGAGCTGCTGGGGACCTGATCAGGCATCTCTAGTCTTCTCATACCCCAAACCACCTGGGAACAGGTGTAGGGGACAGTGAAAGGAGAGCCCACGAGATTTGTTCCTACTCTTGGGAAAGCAGGATCTAAGCACCCTCCCTCCAGAGATGCTATCCCTGAGCCTTTGTTTGGTTTGTTGTCCTGGGCCCTCAATATATATCAGGTCCCAAATAGGCTGGTCTGTGGCCAGAAATTTCAGAGCCAGCTCACCCAACCCATAGCCTCCCATCAGGCCCACCTACTGGGTCCTCATGTCAAGTTTGTCTGGAGTTGAGAGAAGGTAGGCCCAACTCTAAAACAAAGCTGTAGAACTTAGAGGGGATGTGAAAGGCCACCAGCAAAGGGACCTTCCCCCCAACATCCACCAGCCAGATCAGTACCAGACTACAGGATCAGGGTAGCCCTTGCTACAGCTCCAGGGCTGCTGACATTTCCATGTCTCAAATGGCTCTCCTGTATCCTGCAGACTCATCTCCCTCTCCAACTTCAGCTCTTCTCCTCTCTTTTGTGGGTTTTTTTTTTTTTGTTTCTTGGTGTGTGTGCGCGCCAATACTGGGGCTTGAACTCAGGGTCTGGGCACTGTCCCTGAGCTTCTTTTGTTCAAGGCTAACACTCCACCACTTGAGCCATAGTGCCACTTCTGGCTTTTTCTGTTTATGTTGTACTGAGGAGCTGAATGAACCCAGGGCATCATGCATGCTAGGCAAGCACTCTCCCATTAAGTCACATTCCCAGCCCTCTTGTCTTTAAAAAAGTAACTTTGTGTGTGTGTGTGTGTGTGTGTGTGTGAACACAGGGCCTGGCACTTACTAGACAAGAGCACTACCACTTAAGCCACATCTCTAGCATCCACTTGTATTTCATGTCTTTTTCTGTTAAACACAGAAATTAGAAATTCAGGTGAGAGCCGGGCACCGGTGACTCACACCTGTAATCCTAGCTACTCAGGATGCTGAGATCTGAGAATCAGGGTTCAAAGCCAGTCTAGACAGAAAAGTCCGTGAGACTTTTGTCTCTAATTAACCACCAGAAAACCGGAAGTGGTGCTGTAGTTCAAGTGGTAGAGTGCTGGCCTTGAGCTGAAGAGCTCAGGGACAGCACTCAGGCCCAGAGTTCAAACCCCACAACTGACATTAAAAAAAAAAGAAAAAAGGAAAAAAAAATTAGGTGAGTATAGCTCAGTGGAATGCTTAACCAACATGTTTGAAGTCCTGAGTTCCACCATCAGAACAGCAAAGAAAAAGAAAAGGTTGTGTGTTTTTTTTTTTTTAATCACCTCAGTTTGAGAAGCCACAGTCCAAATCAGGGTGTCAGCTCTCCCTCAGCCTTCCTTCCCCTTTTGACTTTGCGTGGCTGTCAGCAACGTCTGATATTCTGTGGCTTGCAGCTGCCTAGCTCCAGCCTCTCGATTCTACACTGTCACATACTTCTCCTTTCACATGGCTGTCGTCTTGTAAGACACCAGTCAGATTTGGGGCCCACCTGCTCCATATGACTTCATCTTAACTGATGGATCCACAATGACCCATTTCCAGATAAGGTTACATTCTGAGGTACAGGGTGTTAGGACTTCATTGTATCTTCCCCCACCCCCCATACAATTCAATTCATAATAGGAACTTATTTTTTTAGTGCTAAATGCAAAAGAACAAATATGTATTTTTCCCCTTATCCTCCCTTCCTTTCTCTCTCTCTTTCTTTCTTCTGGTCATGGGGCCTGAACTCGGGGCCTAGGCACTGTCCCTCTGCTCTTCAGCTCAAGACTAGTGCTCTACCACTTGAGCCACAGCACCACTTCCAGCTTTTTCTGCTTATGTGGTGCTGAGGAATGGAACCCAGGGCCTCATGCATGCAAGGCAAGCGCTCTACCACTGAGCCACCTTCCCAGCCCTATCTTACCCTTCTTACAGATGGTCTTTTTCTTTGCCAGTCCTGGGGCTTAAACTCAAGGCCTGGACACTGTCCCTGAGCTTCTTTTGCTCAAGGCTAGCACTCTAACATTTGAGCCACAGCACCACTTCCAGCCTTTTCTGTTTATGTGATACTGAGGAATCAAACTTGGGATTTCATGCATGTTAGGCCAGCACTCTTCCACTAAGCCAAATTCCCAGCCCCCAGATGGTCTTTTACATGTTTTGTTTTTTTTTTTTCACTTAACATCATATCCTGGAAAACTGCTCCATATCGTGTGTGTGTGTGTGTGTGTGTGTGTGTGTGTGTGTGTGTGTGTGTGTGTGTGTGCAGGCACGCGCACGCATGTGTACATTTACTGGTACTAGGCTTGAACTCAGACCTCGCACTCTTGCTTGGCTTTTTGCCTTAAGGCTAGTACTCTACCATTTGAGCCACAATTCTACTTTTTTCTATTTTGTTGGTCCTGGGGCTTGAACTCTGGGCCTGGGCATTGTCCTTCAGCTCTTCAGCTCAAGGCTAGCCTTGAGCCACAGCACTACTTCCAGTTTTCTGAGTGGCTTATTGGAGATAAGAGTCTCACAGACTTTCCTGCCTGGGCTGGCTTTGAACTGCGATCCTCAGATCTCAGGCTCCTGAGTAGCTAGGATTACCGGTGTGAGACACCAGCGCCCAGTTTACTTCAAACTTTTTTGTTTTTCTGGTTAAGTGGAGGTAATAGTCTCTCAGATTTGTTTGCCCAGGCTGGCTTTGAACAGTGACCCTCCCATCTCAGCTTCCTGAGTAGCTAGGATTACAGGCGTGTTGCCAGAAGTTTATCTTTAGTATAGATTACTAGAAGTAACATTGCTGGGTCAAACTGCATGTATAGTTTTGTCAGAGTATCCAAATTCCCTTTGCAGTTTGCCTTCCCACCAGTTATGTATAAAAATGCCTGTTTACCCACAGCCCCAGAAGGTATCACATCCGTGTCTGCATGGGGATTTCTTCCCTCCTTCCCTTCCTTTCTCCCATCCTCCCTCCTTTTTCTCCCCATCCCCTGCCTCCCCCACTGTTAGGAGTCCTTCTCTCCACTCGCCTCATTTCTGTCTCTGCTTTTCTCTCTTATACCCCCCTTCTCTTCTCCCCCATCCCTATCTTCCTGTCTCACTTCTGAGTGTCATGGCTCTCCTACTTATCTTCCCCTCCCTCTCTGGGCACAGGACTTGGGCGGCAGCAGCTTGGGTGTGAGACACACTTGGAGTGGCAACCAACTACACTGACACACACCCAGACATGTCCTGTGGAAGCGAGAGACATGGCTGGGGCTGAAAGCAGAGGTGCTGGAAAGCCTGGGAGAGCTGAAGATGTGAGGGTGTGGGAGCCAAGCTCCAGGGCTTGAAGGCAGAGGAAGGGGTGGTGGGAGATGGGGGTGGGGGACACAGCTTGCCACCTCAGGAAAGCAGCTCCAAGTCCACAATGAGACTTTTAAATCCAGAGTATAGCTCCCAAAGCAAGACATCTGTACCTCAGCTGGGGCAGCCACTGACTCTCAGTAACTGCAGGAAGTCCTACTTGCCAAGCCTGTTGTTTATCTGGGAAAAGGCCAGTGGTATTACAAATTCATCTTTCCCCCCAGTTCTGGGGTCTGAATTCAGGGCCTGGGCACTGTCCCTTAGCTCTTTCATTCGACTTTATCACCCTAGCCACAGCTCCACTTTTAGCTTTTTGGAGATAAGAGTCTCACAATTCTCAGATCTCAGGCTCCTAAGTAGCTAGAATTACAGGTAAGTGCCACTACTGCCAGGATCCTATATTTTTATTTTTTAAAGAAATCTTAAAAAATGAAACTTGAAGCCAGGTACCAGTGGCTCACGCCTGAAACCTGGCTACTTAGGAGGCTGAGATCTGAGGATCATGGTTCAAAGCCTGCCCAGCCAGGAAAGCCCATGAAACTGTAACTTCCAATTAGCCACAAAAAACTGGGAATAGAGCTGTGACTTAAGTGGTATAGCCCTAGCCTTGAGCAAAAAAGCTCAAGGATAGCACTCAAGCCCTGAGTTCAAGCCCTAGAACCAAGACATAGACAACAATAATGATGATGATGATAATAATAATAATAAATAAATAAAACTTTACTTAAATCTTCAATATATAAAAGATTTTTTTTAAATTGACTGCTGGGGTGTAGCTCATGCTTAGTGTACTTAGTGAGGCCCAGAGTTCTACCTTCAACACCACAAAAACAAAAACACTGGACTGTGATGAGTGGAGGTGTCATGAGGAGCCACCAAGAAGGACCAGAGCTTCCTCAAAGTTCCTCAGGACAGGAGGCCTTTGATAGATGCTCTGTGGAAGGCAGGTGAACACTGGACAGCAAAAAGCCTGGGAGGTGCCCAGACCACATGCAGGTGGAGTGAAAACTGCCTCAGGCCTGGGCCTGCCTGGTATGAGTTCTCAAGACTGCTAAGCCAGCCCAAAAGCCAAGGCTGGCAGCTGGCTGCACAGGCTCCACCCACTGCCTGCGCTCGCCCTCACCAGGCAGGAGGCAGGAATGACAGCAGGGCTGCCACCCAGTCCCCTGGGAGCAGCACCCCCCTGCCAAACCCACCGCCTGCTGTCACCGGCCCCTCCAAAGCGCCTTCAGAGGTGTCAGGAAGGGAACAGGGAGCATGCCACATGCGTGAAGCAGTGAAGCAGCCGGCCCAAGATGGCTGCAGACTTGACACCTGTGTGTTTGTGGAAGCTGAGCTGCTAAAGCTTGGGGAGAGTGAGAAGGAGCCAGAGGAGGCAGAGAGGGAGGGGGAGAGAATGAGGGGGAAGAAGATGGGGAGAAGGGAGGTTTTGCTTTCCTAGGTTAGAGGGTGAAGGAGGGTGGAAGAGGGGAGGAGTGGGTGGGAATCAATGTGTGGCCCAGGGGATCTTTGAGTCACTGCAGCTCTTGGTGGATAGCCATGTACAGGCCTTACACCCCTTCCAGACCTTCCCTTCCCTTCCCTTATGAGCCCCCAGGTCATGCTAGGAACAGCCACACGTGCAATGGTACAAGACTCGGGATAATAGATTCAGAACGTGGCTGATAAAAGTAGTGGACTGGCTGGGGATGTAGCTCCATGGTAGAGTGTTTGCCTCTCATGTACAAGATCCTGGAGTAGAACCCCAGCAAATGAAAAAAAAAAAAAGGATTCTGCAGCTAGGGTTCAAAGCTAGGGTAGCTGATTTCCTGGCCCTGTGCTCAAACCTTTCTAAGACTCAGTTTCTTCAACTGTGTTTTTATTATTGCAGTGTTGACACTTGAACCCAAGGCTTTCCATGTACTAGACAAGTGCTCTACCACTTAGCAGCACCTCCAGCCCTTCTTTAAGTGTATTTGTGTGTGTGTATGTGTGTGTGTGTGTGTGTGTGTGTGTGTGTGTGTGTGTGCGCGCGCGCGTGCATGTGCTAGTCCTAGGGCTTGAACTCAGAGCCTAGGTGCTGTCCCTGAGCTCTTTGGCTCAAAGCTAGCACTCTACCACCTGAGCCACAGTGCTACTTCAGCCTTTTCTGAGTAGTTTATTAGACATAAGAATCTCATGGGAAGTGTCGCTGTGGCTCAAGTGGTAGGGTGCTCGCCTTGAGCTGAAGAGCTGAGGGTCAGTGCCCAGGCCCAGAGTTCAACTCCACAACTGACGGGGAGTGGGGGAGGGAGGAGGATCTCATGGACTTTCCAGATCAGGCTGACTTTGAACCACAATCCTTTAGATCTCAGCCTCCTGAGTAACTAGGGTTACAGGTATGAGCCACTGGCACCCGGCTCTAAGTGTATTTTTTAAAATTAATTTACTTTATTGTTATTATAAAGGTGATGCACAGAGGGATTACAATTACATGAGTCAGGTAATGAGTACATTTCCTTTCACACAGTGTCTTTCTGTTCCTTCACTCTCTCCCAGCTAAGTGTATTTTTAAAAGCCAATAATATACTGAGCAATCTTGACCCTTTTACTTTAAATTGCTAAACTGTGTTATGTATGCTACCAAGCATACCCTCCTTCTAGCTTCTTCCCACTGTTTCCCAATTCTCGGTAAACCCAGGGTCTGGAGATTTCCCACCTCAGAGTTGAGAATGATGTAAGCAGCAGGGGGAGGGAGGAAAGTGCTTGGTCAGTGCTTGGTCAGTTACACAAGTGGCTGGCAAGAAATCAAGTGGCTTTCAAGAAAGCAAGGCGGGGTTGATGGTAGTGTGTGTCTCCCTCTCTCTCTCACACACACACACACACTCTCTCTCTTTCTCTGTCCCCCCTCCCCCCCTCTCTCCAGGGAGAGATGTGTAATAAGAGCTGACCTAAGTGGACTGGCTTCAAACTTGAACTCACCTGCTGTGTAGCCCACACCAAGCTCATTCCTCCCACAGGGGCCCCGGTTCAGTCATATGGAGGGTAAAGTTATTTCAGCTCCAGGGGAGAGTGGATCTTCAGGTTGCGGTCAGGGACAGGAAGTTGTGGAGAGTAGTCTTGGTTCCTGGTAGAGGGAGGACTGATTTCCATGACCCCCTCCCACCTGTGACCTCAAATGCAGACAGCTGAGGCCTTCTCCTACCCCTCACCCCTACCCTAGATCCTGATTTCCACAGGTCTTAAGTGGCAGGGGCAAAGGTAGGGTCAGTCCTTACCAGCTCTTAGCCCCAAGCCAAAAGTCATAGGAACAGGTCTACAGCTCAAGAGCCCTGTGAGCTGCAGCTCCATGGGCATTTCTTGGCTAAGGCAAGCCGGTGTCATGAACATGGAACTGAGGCTGGCAAGCCTCAGCCATCATACCTACAAGGTGGGGTTACCTGGGCTATGGACATCCAGGAAGAATGATGCCTGTGAAACGCTGACACCTTCATCCCACCAACACTCTCAGGTGTCTAAGGGCTTGTTCCACAGAGGACAAATGTCACCTAGACCCAGAAGGGACACACTTCTGGGCAGTGTGGCTTTTCCAAGCTCTTTCAGGGCCCAGGGAGAAGGGCAGATGGCTATCTTGCCTTCCTCAGAAACCAGTCCCTGACTAACCTTGAGGGCTGCCCACGGGTGTCCCTAACTCAGAACAAAACAGGGGGAGCAGGCAAGAACTGGACTCCAAGGACTGGAGGAAGACTCAAGTTAGTTCACCTGCCCAGCTAATGCTAGACCTTGAGTTCAAATCCCACGACAGTCAAAAAGAAAAAGGTAAGAAAAAAAGAGAGAAAGAAACCAACCTCCAAGCTGGGAAAAGGGTAAACTGTGGATTTCTATCTCCCTGGTCATTTAGGCTCTGGTGCTTTGGTTTCCCCCACTGTAAAATGAGGTAAACAATTGAAAAACAATCTCTTTTTTGTTGTTTTGTGTTTACATTTATTTTTAAACTTTTTTGATCTGTGTCTCTCATTTTTCTGCCTTAGGCCAGCCTCATACCCAGATCCTCTTATTTATGCCTCCTGAGTAGGCTGGAATCACATCTCTGAACCACCATACCTGGCTTCTTGGTTTAGAATGGGTTCTCACTAACTTTTTGATCAGGCTGGCTCTAAACCTCTATTCTACTCTCCATCGGCCAGGTTGCTGGGATTCCATGCACATACCATTATGCCATCTCCAGCCTGGAACCTATTTCTATGGGCAAATGACTCATTCCATATCATGGCCTACAGTTTCCCTGACACAGTGACCATCACATGAGAGTCAGCTATTGTTCCTATCCTGCCTCTTCTTCAGAGGAAGAGTCTTGGGTGCTGACTGGCAGTGTGCTGACTTCATGCCGGGTTGGGATGTCTGAGTCAAACAGTCTGCTAGCACCCAGGTAAAGTGAGAGGGGACAGCTGGGAATGAAGCCAGGCTCTGGGTGTGGAGGAGGTTGGCCTCAGCCTGTGTCCTGCTGCCAGCCAGCCCAGCAGGGAGCTGGCTCGAAGATGAGGAGGGAGGCAGAAGGCAGACTAGAGGCTGGACTGCCATCCAGAAGGCAGTTGGCAGTGGCCCACAGTGCTGCCCCAAAGACATCATCTCCTTTACTCCTTGTAGGGGTGAGGACCTGCCATGGGAAGGAGGTAGGCTCTGAGAGATTCACCCATAGGCCCCCACAAGGAAGGAGCACAGCTGACCTCACTACAGGAGCACGTGAGTTTCCCCTGGGGCGGGGGCCTGCTAAACACAAGAGCCTTTGCTGAGAATGGGGTATGGGGATGGGGGTGGGGGTGATCAAGTACTTCTAGATCCAACTGGTATCTGCCTGCTGCTCAGCTACCTCTATACTACCCAGGCTATGCCACTGTCTCTCAGTGGCTACAAGTTCTGGATCTCCAACACAGCAGTCCGCTCTGCTAAAAGCAGAGAACAAGCCAGGCTCTGGTGAAGCTGACATCTGAGGATCACAGTTCAAAGACAGCCTGGGCAGAAAAGTCCCCAAGAGACTCTTATCTCCAACTAACCACTCAAAAACCAGAAGTGGCACTGTGGCTCAAAATGGTAGAGCACTAGCCTTGAGCAAAAGAGCTTAGGAACAGTGCGTAGGCCCTGAGTTCAAGCCTCAGGACCGAGAGAGACAGAGAAAGAAAGAAAGAAAGAAAGAAAGAAAGAAAGAAAGAAAGAAAGAAAGAAAGAAAGAAAGAAAGAAAGAAAGAAAGAAAGAAAGAAAGAAAGAAAGAAAGGAAGGAAAGAAAGAGAAAGAAAGAAAGGAAAGAAAGAGAGAGAGAAAGAAAGAGAGAAGGAGAGAAGGAGAGAGAGGAGAAAAGGAGAGGAGGAAGGAAGGAGAAGAAGAAAGAAGGAGGGAAGCGGGAGGGACAGAAAGGAGAGGAGAGGAGGAAAGAAAGAACAGCAGAGAAAGCTGAGTGGTCAGTGGCTCACTTCTGTAATCCTAACTACTTAAGAGGCTAAGATCTGGGCGCTGTCCCTCAGCTCTTCAGCTCAAGGCTAGTGCTCTACCACTTGAGCTACAGTCCCACTTCTGGCTTTTTCTGTACCACTGAGCCACCTTCCCAGCCCTACCTGAGACTTTCCACTTAACCACCAGAACGCTGAAAGTAGAGCTGTAGCTCAAGTGGTGGAGTACAAGCCTTGAGGGGGAAAAAAAAGCTCAGGGATAGTGCCTAGGCCCTGAGTTCAAGCTCCAGGACTGACACACACACACACACACACAAAAAGGAAAAAAAAAGCAGAGCGTAATTTCCCCAGTGCCTCAAACCTCAGTGGCTTCAGCTCACCTAGTTCCCATCCTGGCCCACAAGACCCTTGGCTCTTCCTCTTGAACTCTCTACCTTATTACTTGGTTCCTCACTGATGGACATATCCTACATGCTCCAACCCAAGGCCTTGCACTAGAACTCCTGCATGTCCTGGACATTAGCTGATCTGTGGATGCATAAGTCCATCCTGGAAAGGGGAGACGTTCCAGGTCTAAGGTCAACATCAGACCCAAGACCATCAGCCAAAGGCCATTCCTTACTCTGTGTGCCCTAGATCCAATCACAGAGTGTCTTTGAACCTCAGTGTCCTTATCCACAAAATGGGCACAGTACAGTATCCATGTCACAAAGCTCAAAGGAACTAGCAATGTGACATGAATGGTGTATGTGCTCAATTCATTGCCCTCCTCGTGGGCTCATGGCAGAAGCAAAGCCTGGGCCAGGCATTTCCAGCATAGCCTTTGTCCAAGCTGAGGGTTCACTAGTCCTGCTGGTTGGAAGGCGGTGTCTTGGTCTCAGGGAGCTAAGCACAGATGGCCTACTTGGGGTTTTCTTCAGAGTTCAATGGCCCTTGGGAACAGTTCCCTGGGGAAGTGGAAGTTTATGGGAAGGGATTGGGATGAGAATGACCGATAAGATAGCAAGGTCAAAACCAAGTCTGTTTCTCTTTTCCTACAGAAGAAGAAGGACGGGGAGGGGAATCAAGCTGAAACAGAAGCTAGACTCCTCACCAAGCACTCTCCATCCTCCACCACCTCCATGCAGGCCCTGGTAAATAAATACCAAGGATGACCCAGCTCTGGGACTACATGACCCTTGGCCAACTTAGGGGACTGTGAGTCAGGTCTGATTTCACCCTTTAGTGCCAGTGGGTAAAACTTGGGTGGAAGAAGTTAAGTTCCTTTCTTTTTCTTTCTTTTTTTTTTTTTTTGGGGGGGGGGGGTCCAGTCGTGGGGCCTGAACTCTGGGCCTGCACGCTGTCCCTCAGCTCATCAGCTCAAGGCTAGCACTCTACCACATGAGCCACAGCGCCACTTCCAGCTTTTTTCTTTTTGCTTATGTGGTGCTGAGGAATCGAACCCAGGGCCTCATGCATGCAAGGCAAGCACTCTACCACTGAGCCTCCTTCCCAGCCCCAAGAAGTTAAGTTCCTAAGGTCAGTTTTTGGAAAGACTTCCCAGAGAGCCCTCTGTTCTCTCAAGGAAAGGCCCTGCCATACAGGCTGCACTGAGAACTAGCCCATCAGATAAAAGCCTCTCCTTAGCCAGGGAAAGTCCAGAGGTACACAGGCCTGGCCACATGGGACATCTCTGTCACGCTCATAAAGCAGGTGCCTCCTGGAGAAGGGGAAAGAGGCCGTTTCTGAGCCAGCTATGGACCTGGGGTCAGGAAACAGCTTCCAAATCCCTGCTGAGTAATCTTAAACTTACCTCCTCTAGGTTCAGCCTCATCCAGAAAATTGAAAAATAAGCCAGGTGCTAAAAATGGCTCTTGTTTGTAACCCTGGCTACTCAGAGTGTGAGATCTGGATGATCATGGTTGGAAGCCATCCCAGGGAAGACAAGTCTGTAAAACTCCACCTCCTAGAAAGAAGTCAGGCTGGAGTGTGGCTCAAATGGCAGAGCACCTGCCATGGGCAAGCAAGCCAAAGCTAGAGCACTAGACCCTGAGTTCAAGCCCCAGTCTGGGGTATGGGGAGACAGGATTTGGGATTTCACTCACTATGCTCTCCTCTGACAAGCCTCGATGTATGAGAGTTCAGCAGAAAGCAGCTCACAGGAACTGAGAGCTTGCAGTGTGCTAGACCCAAGCAAGTCTCTGGGTCCCCAGGGACCTGCTCTGGTCCATCAGGACCCTCAGGTCTGGTGAGGCCTAATTAGCCTCAATCACCAGTATTCTAGACCTCCCCAGGGTACAGTTTCTGTGGGCTCCTAAGCCAAGGGGACACATTCTCATGGTCAATGGAGGAAAGGAATCACTTTCCTCTTCCCATGCTGTGGCACCCATCAGAGCTCTGCTTAGAGGCCCCAGCAATTCCTTCTCTAAACCACTCCAACCTCAACTTCCCTCCCTTGGGTATCCTCACGTCTCTGTGAAGTTGCACCTGGTTATCTTCTCCCTTGGGTGCATTCTAGAATTAATGCTTAATCTTGGAACATTTACCAGGTCCATTTTCTTGAACAGACTCACATCAAGTCTGGGACTTTTTTTTTTTTTTTAATTTGGTCCAGTTCTGGGGCTTGAACTGATGTTTTTTTGTTTTTGTTTTTTTACTCAAGTTTAGCACTTCCACAACTCCACTTCAAGTTTTTTGGTAATTAATTGGAGATAAGCGTCTCACAGCCTTTCCTGCCCAGGATGGCTTTGAACTGCAATCCTCAGATCTCATTCTCTTTGGTGAGCAGCTAGGATTACAGGCATGAGTCACTAGCACCTGGCAGGTCTTGGCCTTTTTTGTATGTCTTTTTCATTTTTTTCACTGGTGGGGACTGACATAAGTACCTCACACAAACTAGGCAAACATTCTACCATTGAGCTAGATCCCCAGTTATCTCCGATCCCATCTCCAATCTTCCTTTCTTTCCTTCTGATTCCCCTCTCCCCAACCTCAGAGACTTAGATCTTTTCACCCTTGAATCCTCATTTAATAAATCCATATCATATCCTTAGAATAAGCCACATCAACTATCTTCAAGCAGCTTATAAAATTACAAATCATAACCAGTGAACTTGATTGCTCTTGTATTAGTCATAATAACTAATGCTTATTTACTGAGCTCTCACATACCTGGCAAGTTTAAAGCCTAGTTCATTTAATTCTTACAACAACCATATGAGGAAGACACTATACTTTTTTTTTTTGTCGGTCATGGGGCTTGAACTCTGGGCTTGGGCACTGTACCTCAGCTCTTCAGCTCAAGGCTAGCACCCTACCACTTGAGCCACAGTGCCACTTTGGCTTTTTCTGCTTATGTGGTGCTGAGGAATTGAACCCAGGGCCTCATGCATGTGAGGCAAGCACTCTACCACTGAGCCAACTTCCCAGCCCTACACCATTTTTTTTTTTTTGGTCAGTTGTGGGGCTTGAACTCTGGGCCTGGGCACTGTCCCTCAGCTCTTCAGTTCAAGGAGCACTCTACTGATTGAGCCACAGAGCCACTTCTGGTTTTCTAGTGGTTTATTGGAGGTAAGAATCTCAGGGACTTTCCTGCCCAGGCTGGCTTTGAACAACGAACGTCAGATCTCAGCCTCCTGAGTAGCTAGGATTACAGGTGTGAGCCAGCGGTGTCCGGCAACTATCGCCATTTTATAAATAAGAAAAGTGAAGTGCTGACTTCTTCAAAGTCCTAAAATCACTGGAGCAGTGGTGGAATGCTTGCCTAATGTGCATAAGGCCCAAGGTTCAATACCAAGCACAACTAGAGTAGCTAGTAGCTAGAGAGGTAGAGGCTGGGAGACTGTGCTTCAAGGCCAGCCCAATAATAAAAGTTCACAAGATTCCATCTCAATCACTGGCTGGACATACAACTATTATCCCTAGCGACTTGGGGAAGCACAATTAGGAAGACAACGGCCCATAAAGCCCTGGCATAAAATGAGACCCCTATCTTGAAAATAATCCAATTCAAAAAGGTGCTAGAGGTGGGGCTCAAGTAGTAGAGCTCCTGCCTAGTAAGAACAAGGCTCTGGGTTCAATCCCCACCAAAAAAACGAAAACAAAAACAAAAAGGTAGTATGACTCAGAAGGTCTAGATTCTCAGCCATGATGGCATTATAGAGGGAGTTAGGCAGGTCTGGAGGTCCATGATTATAGTCCCAGCAATCAGAAAGGTGAAACAGGTGATACAAAGTTTGAAGTGGAGAACCAGAGATCACTTTGTGTGAGCAGTACACTTTAGGATGAGTAGAAGGAAGCCCAGCAGATCAGAGAGGGTAGTGGGTGCAAAGGCATGGAGACATGACTAAGAAGGTGTGAGCAAGACCATGCAGGGCCAATTATTAAACCTTAGGGTGCATACTGGAGATTGCTAGGGAAAAAATCAGATCAGAGAATATCATAAACTGGGTTTGGTATTCAGCCTTTTCCCATGGGCCAGGGGAAGCCAGCAGGGTTATAAGAAAGAAATTAACACAATCTGACTTGTGTTCTAAAAGATCTTTGGAAGCTAGAGTTTAGACCCTGGCTGCAGGCCATGTGTGGAAGTTTCTGGGGAGCTACTGCAGTCATCTTGGTGAGAAACATGTCAACAAGTGGGGTAACAGAGAAAAAAGAGGAGCAAGAAGTTCAGGAAGTTAGCTCTCCAACATTATTTCATAAATGTGAAAATTGAGAGAGAAGAGGAAATGCAAGATGATTTTCGTGCTGGGATGGGATAGCAAAGAAAGACAAATCTACAAAGAAAGGATCAGTTCAGATTTGGAACCAGAGAGCTCCATGGAAGTGGAGATGTCCCATCCACATCTACATCTGGGTATTTGGCTGGTGTGACGCCGACGCTAAGGGAGAAGGGACCACCAGAATCAGTACACAGAGTGATGAGTCGAGCAAGAAAGAATGTGAAGAGATACCTCTGACCTATTGTCGGAGAGGAAGAAGGAAAATCGGGTGAGGCGAAGGAAGGGGTAAGGCATGTCAACCAGAAATGAGTGTCCGTGGTATTATGCGCCTGCAGGAACTCAAGAAAGATAGTTTTAAAGGGCCCTTTTGATATCAATTAGGAAGTTAACACGCGGTGGTCTCCCACGGAACTTGGGCAGACTGGATGACAGGGAGAGACAGGGCTGTGGGACTGAGGAGATGTTTCCTTACTCATCCTCACATTCAGACCCCTCCCAACCCACCGCCCCAACACCCAGGTAACAGTCCTTAGCTCTCACTGCTGAGCGGGGAGGCTCTGAACAGTGATCCCCGACGTCCTCTGGGGGACCCTCTCGGGCGGCTGGAGATGAACGCAAAAGACCCCCCCACCCCTGCCCCGCCACGAACCCCGCACGCGCTTTGCATACAGGCCGAGGAAGAGGAAGGGGGCGGAACCTGGATTGCCGGGGGCGTGGGAAGGGTCGGACGGAACCAAGAACGGACGCCCGGCCGGAAAGCGGGAGCCACCAGCAACAGAAAGCCCTCGCACTACCTCCCAGTCCGAGAAATCGCTGCAGGACCCACCTGTTCCATTTCGGTACGGGCCCTGCTCTTCCTCCCCCAGTCGCAGTACCACTCAGCCGCTCCGGGAGCTTGGCAGGGCGGAAGGAGATCTCTTCGCGGCTCCACTTCCGCCTCTGAGCCCGCCCCTTTATAGCGAACCGGGTTTATCCCGCCCCCGAGCCGGCGGGCTCAGTGGGAGGCCCGGAAGCGGCGCTGCGAGCGAAGTTAAGACGGAAAAGTTTGCGGTCTGGGATGGGAGGGAGGGGATAGAAGACCAGGCACTTTAACCTGACACGGTTGAAGAAAGAAGACTCGCCTGAGGAGCGGTGTGTGGGGGTGAGGGAAGGCTCTCCTGGAGGAATCCAGCTTACGGGGTGGCGTGGGGGGTAGTTGTGGAGGTGGGAGGGAAGGGATGGTCAGGGAAAAACAAAGGAGGAGGCAGCAGTGCTGGATAAGAAACGTACTCATGGGCTGGGAAGGTGGCTCAGTGGTAGAGCGCTTGCCTTGCATGCCTGAGGCCCTGGGTTCGATTCCTCAGCACCACATAAGCAAAAAGAAGAAAGCCGGAAGTGGGGCTGTGGCTCAAGTGGTAGAGCGCTAGCCTTGAGCTGAAGAGCTGAGGGACAGCGCTCAGGCCCAGAGTTCAGGCCCCACAACCGGACCCCGAAAAGAAAAGAAACGTACTCATTACCTTGCTCATGTAACTGTAACCCCTTTGTACAGTATTTTCACAATTAAAAAAAAGAAATCCAGCTTATTATATGAGACAGTTTCCCTCTGTAGCCCCAGCTGGCCTCCAACTCGAATCTTCTGTTCAGCCTTCTGAATACTGGAATCTTCTGTTCAGCCTTCCCAATGCTGGGAAGTAAGGCATCGACCACCATTCTCAACCCACGGTTACTCTTCAAGGACTCCTATTTCCTTCCTGCTACCCACTTTCAGCCATCCTCTGCAGGAGGTAGAACTTCCATGGTCCTTCTAAAGAATGCCCTAGGAGCTGGGAAGGTGGCTCAGTGGCAGAGAGCTTGCCTTGCATGCATGAGGCCCTGGGTTCAATTCCTCAGCAGCACATAAGCAAAAAGAAAAAAGCTGGAAGTGGCACTGTGGCTCAAGTGGTAGAGCGCTAGCCTTGAGCTGAAGAGCTGAGGGACAGCACCCAGGCCCAGAGTTCAGGCCCCACGACCCCCCCCAAAAAAAGAATGCCCTGAACCTGTTGTCACCAGCTTTCCATATCAGATTAACACCCTTTCCCTCTCCCCTGAAAGAAGAAATCTCAGCACAATTATTTACAAAGATTTATTACAGCACAGGAGAGGTTCAGGTCTGGAGTTAGGGAAAAGGGGGAAGGGGGCAGAGCAGCTGGAGAACAAGGAGAACCTGGCTTCCCCACCCTATGTGCTCCCTGTAAGGATATTTACTATATATATTAGGCTGCATTCCTGGCATCAAAGCACAAACAAAAAAAACGTAACAAAGCAGCTGCTGCCAGTCCATCTTCCAGGCACCCAGGAGGGGCAGGGATGATATGTGAATATGTCCAAAATGTTGAGACTGTGGAGAAACATGGCTGAGTCCTGGACCCTATAGAGACCAGTGAGAAAAGTGGTAACTTGAGGTCCCCATAGGGGAGGGGATGAAGAAGAGCTAAAGACACCTGCAGGTTCTCAGCATCTCTTCTGCCCAGATCTTAGGGTCCTGCCCTGTGGGTCTCCGGTGCCCAGGGGAGAGGATCTGGGGAATAGAATGATTATTTCTGGTTTCTTGGTGTTTCCATGGTGGACTCTCTCATATCCCACTTCTCACTGGGTGAATGGAGGGATGACTGGCAGGGATATGTATTGGGTAACTCTGGGCATCAGCCAAATTTGGGCAAACAAGCAAACACAGACCAGCTTTAGTCTTCTAGAAGTCAGAAGCCGCAGCCCTAGCAGATGTGGGGAAGGGTACAAAGCAAGATGGGGACAGAGTAGATTTCTGGGGAATAGTGATGCCTTCACTTCCCTCCTGGCAGATGCAGGACTGGAAGCTTATGTGCCAGGCTCAGGGGGACCAGGGCGCTGAGGCTCCTCCCCATGCTCTGTAAGGCAAGTTAGAGAAGGACTCAGGAGCTAGGTCCTGCCCACCAACATCCCCAATGGCCTCCCACTCCCTTCTTCAAGCTTTACCACTTAGTGCTCTTGTATCTTCTACTTGATCAGAACTCCCATCTCTCTGGGGCTCATCCAGAGGGGGTGGACGCTCCCAGGGCCCTTCCAGACCCTGGCCACAGGTTATCTTCTGCCCACCTGGAAAAGAGGGCATATAAGAACAGGTTCTGGGGGCTGGGAAGGTGGCTCAGTGGTAGAGTGCTTGCCTTGCATGCCTGAGGCCCTGGGTTCGATTCCTCAGCACCACATAAAAAAAGCCGGGAGTGGCGCTGTGGCTCAAGGGGTAGAGTGCTAGCCTTGAGCTGAAGAGCTGAGGGACAGAGCCCAGGCCTAGAGTGCAGGCCCCACGACCAGACCACCCCCCCCCCAAAAAAAAAAGAACAGGTTCTGAGTGCCCATCTGACTGTCCTAGAGCTATAAGCTACATCTAAGGGCTGAGGCCAAGCTTTCTGAAGCATAGCAGACAGAGTATTAGACTAAATGGCTCTCCCAATAACAGGCCATGTGACTTAGGTGTGTCAGCTGTCACCTTTCTGAAGGAGATTTTGTGTAAGAGGGCCATTACAGATTACCTTAAGTAAAGTAATACCTGCCTGGGCTAGTGCCAGCACTCAGAAGCCTTTCAGGTGTACTAGAGGTTATTGTTACTCCTTGATAGTCAAGTCATGTAACCCACTGCCCTACTGCTTGTCCTGAAGAGATGTCTCTCGCCTCTGTTCTAGGGTTCTCAGTGGGAGCTGGTTTAACCCTTCCAGCTGCCAGGGACAGAAGCCCAGGCCATCTTGTCAGGGTGCAAGGCTAAATGCTTCAAGCAGGGGACTGCAATTCCTATAAGTGATGGGCCTATAGGCTAGGAGTGGTGGTTCATACCTGTAACCTCACTACTCAGGTGGTAAATATCTGAAGAATTGTGGTTCAAAGCCAGTCTGGGCCAAAAAAAAAGTAAAAGCCCATCTCAGCCAAAAATGACTCCAGGAAGTGTAAATAGGAGAATTATGGTCCAGGGCAGCCCAGGCATACCTAAGCACAAAATCCTATTCCAAAGACAACTAAAGCAAAAAGGGCGGCTGGATGCATGGCCCAAGTGGTAGAATGTCTACTGGATCCAATCCTCTGTCTCTAGCACTAAATAAACATATGAACAAATTAGAAGAATAAATATTAACAATGGACCAAAAATTTAATGTACACCTGTAGGAATAGATGTGGCACAACCTTGCATGGCCGGATATGGAAAAAACAACCCTGGGAAGGGGTGAGGATCCTGCTTGCTAGTTCTCTAGGCTTTGAGACTCTGTGAGGTGTTTGGACCTCTGTGTAGGTTGTAGGCCTTTTTCTGGTCCCCTTTCTCCCAGGAAGCTGAAATTGGATATGCAAAGGATCAGATTGGTTCTTTTCTTCTTCTTCTTTTTCTGGTCTTGGGGCTTGAACTCAGGAGGGCCTGGGCACTATCCCTGAGCCTCTTTGTTCTCAAGATGATGTTCTACCTCTTGAGCCACCAGGCCACTTCCAGCTTTTTTGAGTAGTTTTTTGGAGATAAGAGTCTCATGGGGACTTTCTAGACCAGGCTGGAGTGGAACTGTGATCCTCAGATCTCAGCCTCCTGAGTAGCTAGGATTACAAGTGTGAGGGCTCAGATTGGTTCTTAAATCCTGGGTTCTTCATGTGGACACTAGAGGGCACCCTCCTACACCCCACCCTAGGAAGTAAAAGGAGAAAATAGTTCTAGGCTCTGAAGAAGACAACCAGCTGGGCCCCTGAATCCAGCAGAAATCATACCACACAATCAGAAATGGGGGTTTGGGACCCCTTTTCCTCTCACCCCCTTGTAGCCATGGACGTTAAGTCCTTTTTGTGTGTCTATTCTCAAACCTCTAATTCTTTTTTGTTTTTGTTTTTTTGGGTCCGGTCATGAGGCCTGAACTCTGGGCCTGGGCGCTGTCCCTCAGCTCTTCAGCTCAAGGCTAGCACTCTACCACTTGAGCCTCAGTCCCACTTCCGGCTTTTTCTGCTTATGTGGTGCTGAGGAATCGAACCCAGGACCTCATGCATGCAAGGCAAGCACTCTACCACTGAGCCACCTTTTCAGACCAACCTCTAATTCTTAGGGAAGAGAAGAGTATTGGGGAAAACTGGATGGGGAGAAGCTAAATCCAAGATGGAGTAAGTCTAGGCTCAGGTATGGCCCAGTGGGAGGTGCCCTGTGGTGTCACTTCAGTGCAAGAAACTGTCTTGGGAGGCCTTCAGGATACCCAAGGAGCACCCACACTTAGCCTGTGGTGGTGGAGACCTGAATGTTGAAGCCCCTTCAGCTTACCAGACCCCCTGATGCTCTTCAGGACTTCGGCCTGGCTGTCTTCTTCTTCATCCTCTTCTTCATCATCCTCTTCTTCTTCCTCATCCTCCTCTCTTGGGTAACCCAGCTCCCGCAGCTCCCCCAGCTCATCCTCCTCCTCTGAGGCCAAGTTGCTAATGGTCTGCAGGTGGGACTCAGCAATGCGCTGCTGCACGGCTGGCACAAAGGGGACCCAGGAATGCAAGGGTCAGCCAGGGGCCTGAGGCAGATTAAAGACCTCAGGACCCTGAGTTCAAGGCCCAAAAACTAGAGCCCAGTTTTCTGGGGACCAGACCAAACCAAGATGGGAACAGCAGGGGGCAGGTTCTTAAGCTGTCCCAAGATGTTGCCCTCCCCCCAAAGTCTCACACCATGGGGAGCCAAGCTGGGCAAGACCAGGCGGGCACAGCAGCAGTTTAACATTCTCTGGCTAGAATGTTGTATTTCCAAATATTCCATATGGACAAGGCTGACCAACTTCAGCCTCAGCACAAGTCCCTGGGCCTGGGGCATTTGCCAGTTTCCCTGCTTATCCCGACCTTCTCTGCACTCTGTGTCCCCTCCACCATACTGCCTAGTCTTAGATGCCAATTCACATGCCCTGCCCCAGACTCCAAGGGCAGGAATGTGACTGAGAG